AGCGGGCGTTTGCCGCAAACATCGGAGGGTGCAGATCCCGTGAGACCGCGCAGGCCACGACGTGCTCCTTTGAAAGCGCTAAGCATCTTGAAGCCCGACGATCCCTGTCCGATTCTCCAGGGAAGCAGGGAGCAAACTGGTCTTCGCTTCGTGGAGCTAGGGTGTGTGTCGGAGAAAGGCTCCTGGTTGGTACATAGGACAGCAAGGGTGCAGGAAAAATGTGTCTCGCCAGCCCAGGAAGCACAGGTCTCAGACATTATCACGTGTCAGGACACTCGACATGATTGGCCCGAGCCCTTTTGGCGTCCCACAAACTCCAACAGCGACAGCTCCCCACCCTAATTCCTAGGATCGCTAAACTGGTCCCTAACCACCTAGTCCTAGGAACTGCGAACTACCTATGCCCTGAATCCTAGGATTGGTGACTGTTAGCACCTCCCCATCCCAAGAGGAGCAACGTCGCTACTGTGCGTGTAACATGCTGAATCCCAGGATGAGGAAGCTGACCCCTGTCGGCTCGCCCCCTGCTGAATCCTAGGAACTGTAAGCTGCTTCCCACCCTTAATCCTGGGATCGGCCCTCTGCCACTGGCATACCCTGAATCCTGCTCACCCACTCGCCTCGATCGCGCGACCTTAGGGCGGCGGGTGATCCGACCACACCTGAGCGACGGAGTGGCATCATGTCACATGTGACTATGGATACTATGTAAGTGTACCCATTCCACAGTTTTCCTTAACAGTTTGAATGAGCGATTAAGCGATACACAGCCAAATCATCACCTAGTCAAACATACGGCTCAGGAAGATTTGTCGACTTTCTCATGGGTTCTCGATATATTCCGCTTTGGTGGCCATTATCTCTGTGTTCATTTATGTATTTTGGAGTCTCAATGATACTATCGCGAGTTCCTTAAACTTTCCAAAGCTTGTTGTGATTAGTAGAGTTTGGAGCTTTGCATGGGCATATGCGTGACGTGGAAGGGTAGTATACCTTATCCAATGTTTGTGGAAGATTTCCCGGGCTAGTAGTCCCATGCCGAGGCCATCAAGATGTCACTCATAACGAGAAGATATCTGTCAAACTGATGAAATGGTTTCTTCAGACTCTGACACTCATCTCTTTGCCCCCGATTCATAGGGTCTATGTGAGGCATCATACCCATCCCTTATAATCCCTTTTTGTCTCTCCGTCCTATTCTCCCCATCCCCTTCATAACGTCATGACGACCACCATGAAAACCACCCAGATCGACTGGCATGATCAATTCCTCCCCTTTCAATGAATAGACACAGCCTCAAACTCCTCAACTCCCTCGACAGCCTCCCCATCCATGATCCCATACACGTACGCCGCCCCCACAATCCTCTTCATCCCCTCCCTCTCACCACTCTTCCTCAACACAAACGGCGCATTGCACCCCTTCATAACCCACACCTCATCGCCCGCCTCGCTCCCCTCCGGCACCATGGCAACATATTTCCCGCCCTTGGCCAGTACCAAATCCAGCGCCGCGCGCATCGGGAAAACACGGTTAATCAACACCTGCGCCGCCGCCTCCAGAGCCTCATTGGCTTCCTGCGCAGTGCAGCCGGACATCATAATCTCCTTTCGCAGCATATCCCGCTCCGGCCGCGCGGCATCGAGGTCGTCCTCCTCGACGGCGGTGCAGAAGCGCCACGCCAGCTTCAGTGTCGTGGCCGGGATCTCGTCCTCTTCGCTGCCCTCCCCCTCGGTGCGGAAGAAGGTCAGCGCGCGGAGGATGGCTTCGAGGCCGCTCTCGCCTGTCCGGTACTTTGAGTCCTCGAAGCCGGGGATGTTGGCCAGCAGCTGCGAGAGCGTCACCATGTCGCGCTTCACCCACAGGGACGGGTGATCAGCATGTAAATGTGCCGCGCGCGGAACGGCGGTCATGTGCTCAATCGTATCGACTTTGATACCCTTGAGAAGCAACTCATCCTCCTCAGCATTAGGATCAAACCCAAAATCAAAGTCCGTCTCGCCCGCGGCCTCGGACTCAGCCGCGTCCGCGACAGTCATGCGCCGCCAGGGTCGGCGGAAGTCAGGCAGCCAGGAGGGGAAGCCTGCCGCCGTGCTGCCGGTGCCGTTGTGCTTCTCCGCAATACCGGCGTGGTCGAGGAGTTCCTCACTGAAAGGCTCGTGGAGGAGGGTGCGGCCGAAGCGGAGGGCCGTCTGCTCAAAGGTGGCGGAGTAGTCCGGGCGGAACTCTTCTCTGTCACCGTCGAGGGCGAGACCGAGGAGCGCAAAGTAGAGGTCGCGCGGGTCCGTGGCGTCGACTTCGCGGAAGGACATGAGAAGGTTGAGGAGGTCTGTTGAGCGCTTCTCGCCGTCGTCTTCGTCGTCTTCTGATTCCCATTCGCCCTCGTCGCCTTCTTCAGCGTCGGCTTCCTCCTCGTGGTCGTGGTCGTGGTCGTGGTCGTGGTCGCAGTCAGGGCCGTGTTCATGGTCATGGTCGTGACCGTGGTGATCATCATCATGATCATCCCCTCCACAACATCCACCCCCGTGCTCATGCCCACCTTCATGCTCATGCGACCTCGTGTTCCCCCTCATAGCACCAAGCTGATAAAACCGCAACCTCTGCGCCATATTCGCCATCAACTCCGCCGCGCTCTCAATCTCCTCCCCCTTGGCATCCACCAACGGCCAAGGAGGGTTCTCCGGCTCTTCCAACGCAATCGTACCCGGCCACAGCTGCGACCAGTTCACCGTCTTGCCACCACACATCATCATGACATCCCGCGCCAGGATAAACTCCTGCACGATCCATACCCGGCGGAACCAAGGACGGTTCCAGAACCGGGACACGCTTAACCACTTGTCGGCACCCACCGGCGGCAGCTCCGCACCAGCACCCGTCGGTGCATCGGGGACTGGCGCACCCAAAAGGTCCTCCGCGAACGCGCGCGCACCAGCGTTCAGAGGGTCCGGAATGTGAACGCGCCAGTACCGCTCAATCAACTCCATCGCCTCGCTGCTGCCATCAGCTTCTTCACCAAGGTAGGCGAGCACCTTCTGTGCGCTAAGGTAAATGTCGTGCATGAGCATGATCTGCGCCTCCTTCTCCTTGCCGTCGGCCTGGTTGATGCACAGCGCATCCGCCCAGACGAGGCGAGTTCGGTCCTCGAGGCGCACGCGCTTGAGGCAGAGGTGCAAGCTTTCGGTGATGGGGATTTGTGCGCCAGTAGAGGTGGTGATGTGATGGGGTTTCTCGTTGGAGCCCCAGACGTAGGAGATGGCTTCGTATGAATCGGCTGATTCGGGCAACTCGTTGTCGTGTTTGCTTGCCTCGTCGACGTAGGTGTCGATGGGGCGGGTGAGAAGATCGCCTTGGAGGGCGTCGTCGAAGCGGCCTGGTGCGAGGGAGAGGAGGCGGAAATCCCGCTCGCCGAGGGACGTGTATTTGTACTCGGCCATGGCTGCAGAGGCACAAAACCTATTGCGATGCTCTTCTGGTCAGGTTTGGTGAGTGCCAATGTGTTGGTTGTGAAGTTAGAGGTTTAAATGGTGAGCGAGCGAGTTATTGAGTGAGAAGAAAAAATCAGAGTTTGGCGGCGTTTTTGGGGACTGTGGAGTGAGATTGGAGCTGAGATCCAGGAAAGCGCTGCATGAAAAAGTCCACATCTAAAAGATTGGATTTTCATTGGCAGCGCCCGCTGATCCAGGGACCACGATTGAGGATCAATTTTATTTGGCATCATTGTTTTGCATGGATATAGGGATTTGTCGAATTTCACAACCAAAGTTGCATTCCAAAGATTTTGCTGCATTTTCATCTCACAGAACCATTAAACGTCGAGGGCTCGAGAAACAACTGAGTTCAGATTCTTAAGCATCATGGCTCTACAATTTACCGGTCATATTTTTCTGTAACAGACTACTTGACAATTGAGAGACTATGCAAATTGATTCATCATTCATGTCCAGTCTAAGAACTAGGAGGAGCAACCTTCACATAAATCTCATCATCTTCTACTCTCAACACACCCATGTCGTACGTAACCTCTCATACTAAAGAAACAAGTCATGAATATCAACCACCGCTCTCAAAGTCCCAAAGCAGAGTTGAAAGCATCAGCAGCAGCCTGCCCACTCAACCCCTTGGAATCAGCCTCCCCCTGCTGACAAGCCGCAACAGCAGCCTCATCCGCCTGACACCGGCTCTCCAACTGCCCACAAATAAACCCAGAAATCACTCCAATATTCAACGCGCTCCCATGCTCAAAGTCACCCGCCGGCGCAAACGAAGCCTCCTTGCGTCCATCAAGACCCTCCGCAAACTCAATGCTCGGGTCCTGGCACTCGCCAAACTCAAACGCCTGTCTCCCCTTCAACAGCGCCGTCGTAGCGATTCTCATTCTTCTCGCACCGCGCGCATTCAGACCCGATGCGCGACGGAGTTTTGTCTGCGAGGAGGCCGCGAGGCAGTCGTCTTCTTGCGCGTCGCAGTCTGACACGCTGATATCCTCTGAGCCAGAGTTAGCGGCGTCGGCGCAGGCGTTGTGCTGCACTGCGCAGGAGCGCTGGAGGGCTGCGCCGGCGTTGAGGAAGGTTGCGCCGTTGACGGAGAAGGGCTTGTCTGCGGAGGAGTCCGAGGTTACGGGCGGGGCGGGGCCGCCGAGGGTGCCGGTGAAGGTTTGGACGTCTGTTGTTCCTGTGGCTGCGTCGTTTGCGTTGTCACTTGCGTCGGCAGTGCTATTGTTGTTGGCATTGCTGTTGTTGTTGTCGTTATTGTTGGACTGGCGACGGGTCTTCTCAGAGGCGTCGGCCGTGGAGTTGTCAGCGCTGGCGCTGGCGCCCTTGTTGCCGCGCTGGGAGAGGATGGCACGGCTCAAGAAGCTTCTGTTGCGCAGGCGGCTTGCTGCGCCGGTAGAGTTGGCCGCGGCGGCCGTGGCGTTACCGGCAGCGGCTTCACCGGCACCTCCAGCGGCAGCGGCATCGATCTCCTCGGGTGTAGCATCCTTGACGATGAGGTTCTGGCTGAAAATACATCCCTCAGCATCATCGGCATCGTCACAGGTGTTGCCGGCTCCGGTGTTGTCGTTGACCTATCTCCCTCATTAGTCTTCTCATCTCATGAGCCTCTATCGAAGGAAGGGGGGAGTCTTACATCGCCAGGCTCGAAAGTGCCCGAATCAAGCGCAAGCTGCGGATCGGCCCCAATAGCAGAAAGCTGCTTCGCCAACTCCAACGTGATAGCCTTATTCTCCTCGGCCGCACCATCCGAAGCCGGATCCTGATGCTGGCTCAACGCCGCAATCTCAGGGTTCGCGGCCGTCTCGTCGCACAGCACGCTCTTGAGGCCCACCTTGCCGGTGTTGCGTTCCACGGCGCGGAAGACGAGCGCGCTCGCCATGCCGTCCACGTCGCCTGCGGCTTTGGCCGTGGTAAAGGCCGAGTCGGCCGTTGTCTGGTGCAGGCAGTCGAGGTTGGTCACGTCGCCCGCGCCCGCGGCGGCAGCGGCGTTACCGAGGAGGCCAAAGACTGCGTCTTGGATGTTGTTTGGGTTGTCTTGTTTTAGGAGGGCGTTGACGGCGCGGAGGTATTTTTCGTGCGAGTGTTCTTGGGGCACTTCGGCGGCGGCGAAGGCGACGAGAGCCGCGAGGGCGATGGAGGTTTGGAACTTCATTGCTGAGAAGCTTCCAAAGGAACTCTTGCTTTTCGAGTTATTCGATGAGGTGAAGAGTATAGCTGATATAAAGTATCCAAAAGAAGGGCCGGCCCAAGAGAAGTGATCTAAAGGATGATGAGAGCTTAGAAAAGAAAGAATGAAGATTTGATAGAAATACAGAAAGTTCCCAGAACTGAACGAAAGAGAGGAAAACGGTGATGGCTTGAAAGACAGTAAACGAAGACCTTCTTCGGCCGTTGAGAAAGATGAGCAGGCGCCGCGTTATATACAGTCTGCTCGCGGCGAGCCCATCATCTACATCGGGGGCCCGTCTCAGAGCCCACCCAACACCTTGGGTTCGTCTCATGGCCGCGACGTTGAATCCTTCCCCTGAGCAACCCGCTTGGGAAAGCCGACCCGCCGATCAACGGGACATTGATACGGTAGACGCTGCCGAACTCGATGATGCGGCCTGCTTGGCAGAAGAAGAGAGCTCAAAAGTAGAACGGAGGCGCTGGGGTGGAGCAAGGGACTGGAACCGTCGGCTGGAGTGCACTCCGATACGGTTTGACCACAATGGACTGGAGAAAGGAGGCGTGGCTACCGTTCGACGTGTGCGAGCCAAGAGTTCATCCCGTTCCGGAGAGACGGGGCGACTTGCCCTGCGGCTCATGGTCCATGGTACGGTTCGATGGAATGCATATCCTGTTTCGGATACTGGGCCGAGTACGAGTACTCTGTAGAAGCGACGGCCTTGTTGAGGACGGATGGCAAGGGTAGAGCAGATAAGAATAACCGGACCTCATTCTCTGTGACGAGCATGGTGGAGAGAAGTCGTTCGCTGATTGCGATTGGGGATGCTGCCCAAAGCATGTCGGCCGTCATAAGAGAATTTCTCCCTCTGCCCAAAGCCGCATACCCAAACCCATCACTCGATGAACTCTGGTACCGCACTTCCGAGCAACCTCATCCTCCTCACCCGGCATCCGCCACTCCCATCTCCAATATCAAACTCAAAAGGAGCCTCATCGCCAGATCGTCATCCAAGAGATGGCCCCGACTCCTCCAATCGGCCTCCACCGACCCCCTGTCCTTGAAGGGGGATGCTGAAGTTGAGCAGAGTTTGAGGATCTTGCAAATCAGACGGCACCCGTCGCGGAACAGCGTCTCATCCACTCTTTTCCTGCCGTCTTTTTGAGGGATGTCATTGGCTTAACCGCGTTCTGTTTGGTAAAAGATGTGGAGACTCAAGGTTAAGCAGGGGTCTTGGGCGTAACGGACCCCGGTCCAACTTCAACCTGCCAATGTCTTCGACTTCTGTTGATGGTCACCTTGCTCGCTTGCCAAGGTGATAAGATGTTATTGTTATCTCTACCAAGTCGGACTTTGCGACACCAAGATCGATCAACCACCTGCCGTCCCATGTTTTGTCGTGGTCTGAACTTTGAAGGGCGCCTAGATCTAGCTTAGTACTCTTGCTATAGACGATGCCTTCTATGCCGGATGTTCTGCCCGATTTATGCCTGGCAAAAAATGTCATCTCATCAAATTCGGCAGGATAGGTCGATCTGTTTATGCCATCTGCATTCAAGGTTCAATGACGCCGACGCCAAAGATCGAGAGAGCCTCTGGTGTCTTTGAACATCGACTGTGATGATTTTAGCTCGGCAGTGATGCTTCTGCGAGAAACGCCACCGGAAGTGTCTAGCGATATACCACCTCGTGTTGACCCTAATGAATTCAGCGCAAAAAAAAACCTCATCTTCGTGGACTTGCCAGTCCCCGCAACACATACACCTCCTCCAAATATCAGGTCCAACTTATCCCTGCCCATTCCCCAACACCTCCCGAACCCAAGCAACGCTCGCCCACGAACCAGATACCAAAAACATCGAGACAGCAATACACCGTAACACATACCCAGCGAACAATATAAACATGCCCCCCCACGTCAATGGTCTCATGACACCGAGACAATCATTCCACCCTCAACTGACGTCGACGCATTGTCCATCATGCGTTTCCCGTCGCTGAGGATTCATCCCGCCACCTACCGAAAAGGTGCGGCATCCATCCACGCGGGAATTGAAGCGGCGCTCGTTGTGTTCTGTAGTAAAAGTCTTGATATTGGGACGTGGCTGCTGGTCCAGTCACACCCGGGATCCTCGCTCCGAACCAATGTTGGCTTGTCACATGAGCGCGGCCCAGTCTGATCGACCCCCCGTCACAATGTCCCGGACCGTAAAACCTCCAAACTCTCATAAGAAAACCTCCGGCTGGCCCTCGACGTCTGTACCTCCGTGTTCTTGTTCCACTGAACACCGCTTCCAGCACGTTATCGGGGTATGACTCGCTCGCTTTGACTTTCGCAATCCGTCCAATGTCCGTTCTTCCTGATAATCTGACCTATGCTCGTCTCTGTCACCTTCACCGAATGATTAGTCACCAGCAACGCCAAATATCACATTTACCTAGTCCACGGCCGGATGTAGTAAAGTTGCGAGACTGCTTGTTCCTGGACGCTCATTGACTTTTGTACATTTGGCATTATTGCCCTAGGGACACGTCTAAGAAAAAAGAAAATGGACACCTCTCTCTCGTCTTGTGGGAACCCAAACCAGCACCAGCTCGGTCTCCGATGCAAAAGAAAATGTTGTTCTAGTAGTTTGTTGTTGCCATCATTTCGGCCATACACCTCCCCTTTCCCCCAAAGGAGAGAGAGGTATGCTGGCCTCCTTTCGTACTCTCTCCTGCTGCCGTTCGTCTCAAATACTCATACAGTGGTCCCGCTTAACCAATGACCAGCTTGCCGTCCTCGGGGAATTCATACTCGGGGATTTCGAGGTTGAGGGGAGCGGGTCCCTTTCTGATACGGCCGGAGATATCGTAGTGGGAGCCGTGGCAAGGGCAGAACCAACCGCCGTAGTCGCCGGCCTCACCAATGGGGACACATCCCAAGTGTGTGCAGACACCTAGAAGGAAATTTGTTAGCTCGCGTATACTGGGTCTGGAGTGATGCTTCGATATGCAATTGCTGCTACAAAGCCATCGACCCTTCGTCCTATGCACTACTCTCCAAAAGAACACAATATTTCGCCACCGTAGCAATTGAATCAATTGTCGTCAGAAAATACGTACCCAACATGATGAGCCACTCGGGGGTCTTGACACGGTCGTCGTCCTTCTGAGGGTCACGGAGGGAGGAAACGGAGACCTTGTTGGCCTCGTCGATCTCGGACTGGGTGCGGTGGCGGATGAAGACGGGCTTGCCTCTCCATTTGATGATGACCTGTTTTCCACATGTATCAATACGGCCGTCTCAATTGTTATACGCCGCCGCTCGGCTTTTCAATCGAGCCAACTCACGTTCTTTCCCTCGGGGATGGTGCTGAGGTCAACCTCAACCTTGGCCATGGCCAAAACGTCGGCGGAAGCAGACATGTTGACGAGGAATTCTGCAATTGACACCGGTCCGTCAGCCATTGTTTCCTTGAATCCTTCATTTTTGCTCCGGCAATCGCCCGTTTTCCACCCCATGAATTTATGTTCGGCGTTTGTTTCGGGTCTACGGAAGAGACTTTTGCCTACCCTGGACGGTGGACTTCGCGCCGGCGGCGGTGATGGCGCCCATGGTGCCGACCATGAAGTATCCGAAAAGCTGGTTGGTGCCGGCAGAGCCCTTGCTCATGTACTTGGAGAAGTCGGGGATGCTGCTGCCCTTCTGGGCGCCCTTGAAGGGGCTCGAGTAGCTCGTGGCGGTCGAGTCGTTCCGGGCGGCCGAGGTGCTGAGCGCGCGCGCAGCCGTTGACGGGCTGGTGCGCGCCAGTTGCCGCAGGCAGGTGCGGGAAGCGTGTGCGAGGGGCGCCATCTCGTGAATCGGAGGAGAGGGGAGAGGATTTGCGGCGGCGAGGGTCTGGTTGCGAGATGCAATTGGGGAGAGGGATGACGTTTAGTAGGAGAGCGTCTTTTTTCGTGATGCCCGTGGTTTGAGGATTGCCGAAAGCTTTCTGGCTGGTCGCCTCAGGCAGAAGGTTCTGAAATTAGTGCATGTTGATTGGTTGGTGAGTGCAGCTGGGACCCGGCCCTTTCCGGAGTGGCACGAGTGATGACTGCGACGATGTGGATAGATGCAAGTCCCCCATTCGGAAAATCAACATGGAGACAAATTGCCATCTGGCTCATCCCCAGACAGAGGGCTTTTCTGTACAAATCGTCGACGACATCAATTCATGGGAAAACTAAAAGATTCTTTGCCATTATCAAACAGTGATTTATTTTCCACTGTAGTTAATCATAGCCGTGGGTTGTCATTCATTTCAAGCCCATTCGCCCAACTCCCCGTGTCTGAATATCCTACATCATCCTATGGTGCTTTAATGCATGCGCTTTAGCTCCTCCACCAGGTTGCGCATATTCTCTACCGTAGGCCCAAGTCCCGCGACGACGGCCTCTTGTTTAGCCTCATCCAAGTCCAAGAAACGCTCAATCAGCTCCCCGTCGACAAAGCGGAAGGGTGCATCTGCCGCGCGCTTGGCGTTCCGGAAACCTCGCCACGACATGAATGAGAGCCCGGTGCCTGCAGCATCATCTGCTTGACCCAGTGTCTTCACCACTCCGGCCAAGTTTTCCTGAAATTGCAGCAATAGACTCTGATGCTCTGGCCTGATATCTGCAAAAACATACACCGATCCTTCAACCTAGGCCGATGTTAGCAACCTTTTGCAAAGTCGGCTGGAACTCAACTTACTGTTGCGAGGAACGCCTTTGGTACGATCGGGTCGTTCTCGTTCGGAACAACATCGAGTGATCGGATCTTATTCACTTGCTCCCCGAGGTGGAACTCACTAATGACTTCCATCTGCTTCTGGTCGTGCTCTGTTGGCGCATCCGGATTCCTCCGTAGCACCATGAGGTTGCCCTGCGCATCGGACTCCAACCACGAATGCCCCTCCAAGTGACATACTGATGTGGCCCAAATGTACTGGAAGTGACGGGCGCGCTCTACAAGCTTTGCTTTGTTCCCGTCTTGTGGCGGGATGAACTCGATCAAGGTCATCGACTGCATGAGATCAGCGATGCCAATCATGTTTCCATTGACATCAATGTCGACGGGGAATGTTGAAGGGCGGAAAGTAGCCAGCTTGCGAAGTGCTCCAGATGTGGTCGACTCTTCGGCATAGTCGTAGACCACTACTGTCTTGCTCAGCCCAGCAACAATCTTTTCGCCCATTACACCAAGACTGCGACACGCTCCCTTGAGCTCGTGACTGACAATCAAGTAGGGGTTTTTGTCAGAGTCAACGCCCAAGACCAGAATCCGGCCCTTGACATCGCTGTTCTCATCAATCTCTGGGTCTGCCAAATAACTTGTTCCGATGATGAAGCGTTCGGCAGATTGCCCCATGCTGTCGGGCAGCTCTGCTCTGATGACGCTTTCGACCATCTCGGTCGACGTGGAGCCATCAAGGTGGAATGCCTTACCAACCACGCCAAGGACCACCTCGTCAATGAGTTGGAACGAGCTTGATACTGCCTCTTCATTGTTGATGAGTTCTCTGCGGATAGTACCTATACCAAAGGCACGGAGTGCTGGCGAGTAGGCTACCCTTCGAACCGTCTCGCGTAGAGGAAGTGGGTTGACATGTGTTCTCCTTTCGGCATCGATGTGGGCAATCCGAACATTACGATCCGTGGCGAGGAAGATGGCATCTGGGAAGGCTTCTGAGTCGAAAGGCGCGATATAGGTAACATCTTCTGCAGTTGCCGCAGAGTAGATGATTCTCCCTTCTGAGCTGTAAATCAGACTAGAGTGCTCGGTAGTAGCAAACACATTGTTGATGCCTTCATCGCCCGGTCTTGGAAGAATGTGTAGCCCAGCTTGTTTGCTGCCAAGAGTAACGCTTTTACGGCTCGATAAGGAGAAGTCCTCTTTCGACACATTGAACGACACAACCTGGCCATCCTCCATAGCGACGAACAGTGTGGGGCCGAGCAGATGTGGCGGGTGTAGTTGCACTAGAACCATGTCTCTGGGAACAGAGACACTGTCATCGGTTTGCTTAATGGTTTCCCCCTGTAGGGCATTCAGTGTGCGGAGGTCAATTATGGACACTGAACCCGTTGCCCAGAAGCCTACCACGCCAATGTGGTCAAGATCGCTGGCTGCGTGAACGCAAGAAATCTGGTCCTCCGCACCCCCAACGCCACGACCTAAGACTTGTTCTTGGGCTGCCAGGTTATCCACCAGGTTCAATGATACCAGAGAGGTACCGTTGATAGACAGTAACACCCAATTACTGTTGGCGGACGCGTTGACAATGGTCTTGCCATCTGGTACTGACCAAGTGTTCAGAGTAACGCCGCTCTCAAGATCGAGCAGTGTCACGCTTGCTGCAGTGACTTGTAGTAATTGACCACTGGGCAGTGTTTTTGCGATCAAAGTGGGCTGATCCAAGGTGAGCCCCTGAAACCCAAACACTTCTTCAATGCCACCCTCAGCATCAAAGCTGAAAACTCTGGTTTCTGTCATGAAAGAAACCACGAGGGTGTTGAGTTTCTCTGAACCGTGCGACCGAAGACTGAAAAGACCGCGGGCGTCCTGCAAGTCCTCTAGAACTCCAATGTCTTCTAGCCCAACACTGCTTCGGATGCTCCGTAAGCTACCGTTTTGATGGACACCACATCCGGCGACGATGCGCGCTTGGCCTGACGAGAAAGCGTTGCCAATCTGGCTGTCTCCAGCGTTTCCCAAATCCATGATGGCGAAGTCGAGAATAGGTGCAATGTTGGGAATTGTCTGCACGAGCTTTGTCGACAGTTCCTCGAGATCCACTTGCAGTAGTTGCGAGTCACCGTAGTGAGAGCCCAGGAAAAGCATGCCATCTCCCATGTAGACGAGACATGATGCACGAGACGTTACACCGAGAGTTCTAACAGTCATTCCGAGAACAACAACACCCTCTGTCTCGATCGTCAGAAGATGGAGGTTGCCATAGTCGTCAGAAAGGAAAAAATTCGTGTCATCATAGGCAGCCCATGCCACAAATATGGCGGGACTAGCCATTGTGCTTTCCACGACAGACTGTGTCAAGGTATCGACGTAAACCAACAGAGTTTCACCAACAACAATCAAGCCACCGAGTTGTGCCTTGGCCGCTGATGTGTCTCTTTTATGGTATCGCTTTACTTCATCCTCAATGATGTTCACAGGGATGAGGATGCGGGCATAAGGGTCCTTGATCTCAACATCGAGATCTCTATTGCGTTCTGGATCGAACCTCGAAACGGCTGTGTTCTTGTCGTCCGTCATCAGTCTGTATATGGCGAGTCGTGCGTCCTCCTTGTCGATCTTGGATTGGTACAAGAAGGCGACGGTGGGATGGCCAGTCTCGGTGGGCACAAAGATGCTCGCCTTCATGAAGAGCTCGGAGAGGCGGACTTGTTCCCATGCATCGTCAAGGCGAGCGAGCTGTCCTTTTCTAGTTCCCAAGCGCATGACGTTCATAACACCCTCCCATAAGTGCATAGCCATGAACCTTCCTGTCGGGTCGACTAGGCACTTGTCCTGGCTCTGGGCTTCGCGCATGTGAGGCTCGGCAGTATCCTCGACGACCTGCTCCGTGTGGAGCCTTTGTGTGGCAGGGTCCCATCTCGCCGTGAAGTATTGGAATCGATCGGTACCGACAAAAAGCAGATCAGCTTTGCTGTCCCTGGGTCGCAGTCGCTGGAGAAGGAGAATGGTGCCGTAGACTGCGGCCGAGCCGAGCAAGTACATATCGGTGGGCGTGATGCGCCATACTTCGAGTCTATTTGATCGCCTTGGAGATTGTCAATTTGAGGCGATACACGTCCAAGTCTGCCTCCCTTCTTGTGTGTGGCAACTTGAAAGCAGGGGAAAGGTAAAGAGAGGGGCAGCACAGGAAGGGGGTAAACTCACGCTACCACCAAGCTCTCGCTCTCATCTTCCTCGGACAGGCATATTCTGATGGCCTGGCGTATGCTGCTTGGCCTATGGATGGGCGCGATGTACGACATGGTGCCGGTCTGTGAGGTGTGAGCTGCAGCTATGTCAGGTAGGAGCTCTGATCCCACGCGATAGCAGCCATGGACAAAAGAGACGTCGTGGGGGGAGGAGAATCGAGATCCAGTCGGTGCTCTTCCTGACGTCGGAGTTTAGCAGTGCAGGTCCGGGCCCCTCCAAAGCAGCAGTGGACGGCAGGTTCGATTTCATCATCAATTCCAGCGCTGGCGGTGGGGCCGTAAGCTTCGGCAGGCGCAGGGGCCACGCCGACATGCCGCCTTCCTTCTAATACTGGGGGGCTGTCTGTCACTGCACCTACGGATACCGTCACTGAAATTAAGCACTTTCGGGCAAGGGACGGTGCTTCTTACGTAAATCACACTGTCCGGATGCCCGGCCAAAGTGTGGAGCCGGACAGTGAGTTTCACAGTGTTTCCGCTGAGGTCCCTGCACTCGTCTTCTACAGCATCGGGGAGGCCCAACAGGGCTGCAGTGTGCATTCGTTTCCTCAGATATACTACTACGGATGTGTTTGTCTCCGATCAGCCTCGCCTATCAAACCATCCTCTTCGGACTTTGTCATGTTTCCATGAGATCATCGTCAAGGAGGATTCATCTCTCGAGCCGTTGGTCCATTCCTTCTACTCAAGTTGTCCAACATCGGATATCCACCGTTCGACCGAGCGCTCATGGACATCGCCTGTTGGGAAGCTCCCAGAGCATCGCCCAGTTGATGTGAGGCTGCGAGAGGCCATACTTGCTAAAATCCACCTTGTGCTCGTCGATATCCTTGAACCCGACCTTTTGGTACAGATGATGGCCAGCGACTGAAGACTCAAGATACGCCGGAACACCCAACCGAACAGCTTCCTGCACTATAGGTGTCATCAACTGCCACCCTGCTCCACGTCTTTGGTGCTTAGGGTCTGTCACCAAAATATGCAGATCTGTCGTCCGCGTTAGCTGTCATTCACATCTGCCACCAACGCATCGAACGTGCGATGTCCACCACTTACAGACGACCGGCTTGCCACCTATCAAACGTACACGCATATGGTCCAAGCCATGGAACAACGCTGCGCAAGCCTCCTCGTTGCAGCCTGGTCCCCAGACACGTGGTTTTGGCACCGGCAAGCCCTCCGAGTATGCATTCCACTTGCTCCAAGCAATGATCGCATCGTCGCCAGAGAGATCCGTGTCCACCGCTTTGTGGAAGCGCACGGTTGTGTCCTCTCGAAACTGTTTAGCCATTTCTTCAGCTCGTATCCCCATGATATCCTCTGGCATGGGTCCGGGGAATAGGACTGGTTCAAGTGGGCTCCCCGAGAATGCCAGTTTCTCAATCTCGGCGCACCGCCGAAGATCGCTCTCCAACACCGGCTGAATTTCGATTGGCATATTTGCTAGATATTCGACGCTCTAATATGGTCTATGTCGAGGTTTGAGCGACGTCTTTGGATTTGTCGTGGAGAAGTCCACATCTACCTATACTTGTATACCCGTACGGGCCACGCCGCTTGCCTTTCTTATGCGGGGTCTCTTCGGCGTGGGGTTCCTATCCAGGTGTCCGTATGGTCGGTTCGGAAACCAATCGGTCTGACTCATCATGGGATTCGTGTTGGTTTTCGTCACCCTAGTAATAATCAGCCTTTCGGTGACCATCTAGGAAGCTCGTCAACGAGGGATCACGTCCTACATGCATCCTGCACGCAATAGAGCCCATCAACAAGAATACGCAAGCTGACAAAATTTGTCATTCCTGTCAGCTGCAGAAGGGATATGCAACGCTTATATGCAAATCCATTTTAACCTCAAGGTTTGTCCTTAGCACCCTTGGAGGCTTATTTGACCGGAGAATATCAAGGTCATGATCGCTAGTGTGACCGTGAGAGTCTTCCTAAGCTGGCCGCGTATTTCTCCCCATCAGAAGGACAGCACCTGGTCTGATTAATCTCTAGGTTCATGGTACGTGGTAGATGGTTCATGGATGACGGTTGACATGTTCAGGCCCACCGAACGAAGCTTTGAGTCTCAGGCAGGGACCGGGGAGCTATGTCCATCAGGCGACTAGGCCGTGTTCGTATCGTGGACCAAGCCGTTGACCACGAAATTTAAGTACGGAGCTATCCAGCCATGATAGTAGAGCCTCATTGAAGGAGTTTGCGGGGACGTCCCGCCGACGTTAAAAAGCTCGGATGGGGTTGACGCACAGCCAAAGGGATTGGAAAGCGGAGGGGAACTTGTCGGCCGGGGATGAGGAGGCGCAGCGATATCTGCGCGTATCATCGAATTCATCGATGGCACTCGTCGACATTGTGTGTCCTCGAGACAGATCCGAGCATCCACCTTGCGTCCCCGAGCAACTGGCGTAGACCACGTTTAGACCACAGCTTGGTGTCTCTCGCCGTTCGTCCCAAGTGCCTGGCACTTGACGGCTGCGTCCAGGAACGTCCCCTCTTGGGTTTCTTGGGAGCCTCCCCGAGCTTCAAAGGCCTCGACGTCGCCGCCGCTGTTGACATGGTGTGGTTCGTTTCATGGCTCCTGCAGCCCAGCTGTCGCCGCGGCGCCAGGGCCTCATCCCTGTTGCATCGGGCCCTTGCCTTGCTTTCCTACACCAAGATGCTCGCACGGGGCAGGGGTTTCTGGCCCACAGAAGCTTAATTCTCCTTTCGGCCGCCGGTCCAAGACCGTTTAGCTGTCTTGTACCTGTCAGATTATCAAAAGTGTACTTTGGCTGCATATCAGTACCTCCCGGCCGAGAATCACGGACGTCAACACAGACCTTCGTGGCCTGTATCCAGAGGATCCTTGCGTCGGGGACGCAGCTGCTGGCGTTGCGAAGGCTGTTTCCCGACCTGGAAACAACGTTCTCAGGATGTGAGCCACTGCAGGGTCGAGGACTATCGACTTCCTCACGGTACGGAAGTGTCTCACGGTCTCACGTCCTAGGCGCAGACGGGACCTAACGAGGGTCCATCTCTCCATCTTTGTCCTGGATGTGATCTGAGCTTCAATCATCACAGACTGATTGACCAAAGTTTATAAACCTATTCGATATCCCACCGGAAGGGAATTTTCTTTTCGGAGCATCAGATAAGGATCTCAACAACAGCTTGGTTATTCCCAAAGCCTCAATACCTTCCTCGAAACCCTTCAGATCCTTCGTCTTTGCTTTCACTTCAAAATCTTTACCATGCACCTGACCCTTGCTCTCTTCGCCCAGGCGGCCATCATCGCTGCCGCCCCTCTTCAGCCTATCCGGATCATCCAGATTGAAGAGAGAGCTGCAGGTGATCTCGACACCATTGAGCGAGCTCTGGCTCCTGTCTCAGAATCACTCGCCAATGTCGATGCCGCAGTCCTCTCTTTGGATGGTGGCCCAGTCACGGCAAACAACCTCCTCATCTTCTCTCAGCAAGCCCAGGTGGCTACCGACCAGGCCACAGTCGATATCCAGTCTGCTGGCGACCTTGGTGCCTTTAGAGCTGCCAGACTTCGCCGCACCACGGACGCTCTCATTGATCAGACGACTGTCACCGTAAACGACTTGGTCTCCCGCAAGCCCGTTCTTGACAACCTTGGTGTCAGCGGTGTTGCATTGGAGTCCCTCCAGAGGCAGAAGATCTCCAGCATGGCATTGACTGCTGCGCTCGAAGAAAAGGTCCCCAGAGTCGGGCAGAGAATCGCAGCTGAGGGCAGGGCTCAGATTGAGTCCGTGATGGATCAGGCAATCGCCATCTACTCTGAGCCGGCTGTCGCTGCTGTTCCGGCTGTTTCCCCTCCTGCTACGCCTGCCAACCCCAACGCCATCCCTATCGCAGTTCCGCCTGCTGCTCCTCCTGCTGCAGCAGTCCCTGCTCCTCCCGCAGCTGCTCCGGCTCCTCCTGCTGCCGTACCGGCATGGCCCGATCAAGCGCCTGCTCCCCCTGCCGCGGCCGCCCCGCAACCTCCCGCTGCCGCTGTTCCGGTTGCTGACCCCAACGCCGCCGTTCCTCAGGCTGGAGCCCCTGCTCCTGTCCCGGCTCCTCAGCCGGCGCCTGCAGTTGCTGCTCCTCCCGCCGTTGCTCCTGCTCCTGCTCCTGCGGTGCCCGTCGCTACAGTTCCCCTGGTTGCACCCGTCCCGCCTCCTCAAATCACTCCTGTCTCTGGCCGCAAAGCCCTTAAGGACAAGAAGAAGAAGGCGTCAAGAATCAACGTGGTCGAGACTGAGGGCGAGACTGTTGAGCAGTAAACACATCTATAAGTGATGATTATGAATTGGAGTTTCAAGGCACCACAGGCGCAGGATTGGGATCGAACGGGTTTACTTCAGAGTGCTATAATATTACAAAAATAGAATGATCTAATGCATATTAATGCACCCTACCAATGTTTGCTCGAGAAGCCTTCTTTCATTACTCAGTGATAGGTGACAAGCAGCATAGAAATGCGCGTGACGTTCTAGCCCTACCATCCCAGTCAACGTAGCAATATGCAAATCAACTAAGACCGCAAAGGAATGCGAGATTAAGACTGAGCGTACATAAAGTTTGTGCCATTGACTGGGCAGATGCTACCCTACTGCAAAACACGACATTGCAGATCGCGTAGTGCACAATTAACACACAAACAATTTGGACTGCGCAGCACGCTGCACGCGCGCTAATGCAGGAGCTCAGCGACGCTAGTGACTATCGTGACTAGTTTCTCGTAGACCTCTTCGACGGATTGCTCCGCGTCAATGACCGTCAGCCTTTTGTGTTTACGGAATTCGTCTACTACGAGAGAGGTTATGGTTTCGAAGGTGACGAGCCGGTTTCGGATTCCTTGCGCCTGGTCGTCGAATCTGCCGCGGGGGAGGAGGCGGCGGTGGCTTGTTTCTGGGGAGCATTGGAGGAGGAGGAGGGAGGTTATTGGGGCGATGACGGTTTGGAAGTATGTTCTTTGTTCTATGGACCTTGGGAATCCTATACCCGAGAATCAGAGCCATGTTCGAGTCTTTCCGCACTTGTCGTCTAGGTGTGGCGCGTGGGTTCGTGGTAATGCCCTGGGGTTACACAACGGAAACAGTTACCATCTAGAATGAAGACTCTTATACCACTCTCCATCATCTTCGTGACTCGGTCTTTGAGAACAGCTGTTGTGATTGCGATTGGTCCTATTGTCCCTGCAAGCATGTTTGCCCGGACGATGTTTGCCCGGACGATGTTTGCCCGGACGATGTTTGCCCGGACGATGTTTGCCCGGACGATGTCTGCGCGGGGGCTTTTTTCCCCGCGTTCCATCTCTTCGCGAAGTACGTCGCCGGTGCTGATGTGAGAGAGGTCAAATTCTTGGGAGAGAAGGTGGCATTGTGTGCCTGTGCCTGATCCCGGTCTGCCTACTATGCTTATCACGGTGAGAATCTCGGTATTTTGTAGCGCTTGAGACTTTGGCGTGGTTCTTCCATGATGTACGTAGTGTCTGTGGTTATATGTACTTAACTACCACCTCGTGCGCCACGAACGCGCGACAACGAGACCTGAAACAATGACAACACATTGAGAAGGACTACAAAATTTTACAAAGTGGTGCATTTAGTGCATCAAGTTTGTGGGTCATTTCTTGGTCAAAGAGGTTCAATTAAGGTTGCGTTGGTTCCGCGTTCTGTTGGTTTGGTGTTTTGTTGGTTCTCATGTTTCGCGTGACGCAAATACCCATGCTTGCCTTTTCTGACTGGGCAGAATGAGATCGCATTCCGTCTAATTCAAGTTGTAAAAGGAATAAAAGATGAGTAGATATATGACACTAATTATTTTATCATTTTATCCTCCCTTTCACAGGTCATCTGTTTGCATGGTTCGATATCACCACACAGAAGAGTAGATGTTTGTTGGTGCAACCCTCAACTGACGTTCGGGACTTGACAAGATGACGGGGGTTTCCCAGGCGGACAACTGGGATGTCCGCTGCTCGCAGCGGTTGATGCAACGTGGGGGGTTCAATTATTTCCCCATCTGGGATCCCGCGGGCCCTCGAACCACGGGAACCTCAAAACAAACGGGCAGTCAAGAGCTGAAGTCCCCTCTTATCGCCAACCACGCATGAACTGGCCCATAATTAAGGCTTGCCTTAAGTGCAGTTTAAGCGCCTCGAGGAGAATCGTTTCAACGACGAAGCATTGTCGCCATGGGAGAAACTACATTAGGCTCTATCCGTTGATGCCCAGGGATGATTACTTAAGAAGCTAAGGTAACGGTCGGGAGGAATCCGAAGGTCCGAGAGCAGAGAAGAGCAGCGCACAGATACAACATCCAATAGTGTCGATTTTTGTTTTTTCATAAAAAAGATATCACCTGCTGAACATTGCTTTTGTACGCCCCGGCAATGAGACTCGAAAGTTCGAAACTGCGCGCGATCAGCCGTTGTCCGACGAGATGAGTGAGCTTGAGTCCAATCAATTGTTTCCTGGATAAATTCCTCTCTCGAGGGAACAATGGGATTACTCATTCACCACAATACGGATACCAAGGACTGTAATCTGGCGTGAGGCCCACGTCATCTGGACCTTTGGAGCTCCAAAGTCCCCCTTTCCTTGGGCGGAGATCCATCTTGGACGGAGTTCCAGACCTCGCCATGACGCCGATTCACGATGCTTTACATATGCAACAAGACTAGATGGGAACGCTTGGCTACACACACCAACTCCAAAGTTCTCCAAAGTCTCCAAATCACTTCAATATCATTGGAGATGAGTACGCAACCCGTATCCTCACCGGTGAAAAAGGGGCGAAAGAGAGAAAAAAGCAAACTAGATTTGACGGTATACCAGAAACGAACAATATGACGCCGAGTGGCTTTTTTGATTTTTCTGGGAAGCCCCCCTTGGCAGCTCCAGCTGTCGTGACCCTTGACTGCATCCGGGGTCCCGGTCGAACGAGGGTCCCTTTCACTCCTTATCAATTATCTCATCGTCAAAGCTCAACGCTCAACTGCCGTTCAGCCCCTTTCCCGAGAAGAGCCAGCCCAGGCACAATCCAGGCCGCAAAAAATTAACGGGATACGGGATCGGCACGCACGACTCAACCTGACATTTCCCAATTCCCCTTCCACCTGGTCACCCCCCTCCCCAGTTCTTCAAAGCGCCACTGCCCACCATGAGGCCCTCGCTCTCAAGCGAAATGATAGTGTACCATCAGAGACATAAAATCCCACGAGGACCCGGGGACCGCAACCCGTTGCCGAAGCTAGACAGGCCCCTTCGAAGCATCCTTTAAAGTACCTGAGCCGCCGTCCCGGGACCATCCCATCAAGACGGTTTTCATCCACATGTTGATCACCTTCCCTTTTACTCTTTCATACATCGCACTCTTCTGATACTAGTAAGAAGAACTTGCGACGGGCAAAGATGGGTCTCATTTCACAACTATACAGCCTTCGTTGGCTCTTTGCGGCGATCGTGTTAGCCGTGTACGTCGGCCAGAAGATCCGGACGTATAATCGGCTCAGAGCATTTAAGGGCCCGGTCCTGTGCGGCTGGACGGAGGCGTGGCATGCCTGGGCGATTCTGACTTTCAAGTCTCACCTGAAGTATGACGAAGTATGCAGGAAATACGGTAAGGCCTCAACCCCCCTTCCCCCGTCCCGTCAGGTTTCTCTCTCCCCCTTTCACCATCGCTTCCTGACAAGCGTGGTGATCTACCTTACATTTTTACCTTTTGCCCAGTTCGCCGCATGGCCCGAGCTGAACATGAAAGAAAACCCAATGCTGAACCCATTCTCTTAGGGACGATCGCTCGCGTCGGGCCGAACGATTTGATCACATCCTCACCCGAGCTTCTCGTTTACATGAGCGGCATCCGGTCGCCGTACACGCGGACGGAGTGGTACTACCGCGCGTGCCGGCACATGTCGGAGAATGATCACGTCTTTAGTGAGATGGACGAGGAGAAGCACAGGGTGCTAAGGCAACGGATGGGAGCCGGAGTAAGTTTGACGATCTTCACTTGCCTAGTCTCACACGGGCCAGATCAGTACTGACGAAAACCACCACCAAGTATTCTGGCAAAGAGAACCTTGCGCTAGAAGACTCAGTCGACACACACGTGTCGGAGCTGGTCCAACTTATCCGGTCAAAGTACATGTCTTCAGAGTTCGCAGCGCGGCCCATGGACCTGGCCATGAAGATGCAGTACCTGACGCTAGATGTCATCAGCAACATCAGCTACGGCAAGCCCTTTGGTGACCTGCGCGCCGACGAGGACATGTTTGGCGTCGCCGAGTCAGCCGAAGTCGGCATGACAATCTTTACTTACAAGATTGGCCTGGGCCTCTACAAGATCCTGCAAAAGCCCATCGTGGCACGCCTTCTAGGTCCCAAGGAGACGGACGCCTCCGGCTTCGGCCGTATGTTCGCCAACGGCCGCGCCATCATCAAGGAGCGCCTTGCGCGCGACACGGAGAAGCGATCCGATATGATTGCGTCGTTTATCCGTCACGGTCTCAGCGAGGATGAGATCCTTTCCGAAACGACGCTGCAGATGATTGCGGGGTCCGATACCACGGCCGCGTCGCTTCGCATCATCATGCTGTACCTCCTCACACACGCCCGCGTCTACGCGAAGCTCCAGGCCGAGATTGACGGCTACGTCAGGGACGGCCAGATTGGGTCCCGGCCATTGGGCATCGTCTCGGACGCGGATAACAGGCGGATGCCGTACCTGCAGGCCGTCATCAAGGAGGGCATGCGCGTGCACCCGCCCGTGACGAATATGGACCCCAAGCGGGTGCCGGATGGCGGCGACACGGTTGTTGTGAACGGCGAGTCGGTATTCTTGCCGGGCGGAACGAATATCAATGCCGCGGCATGGCCAATGCACTTGAGCAAGGAGGTCTTTGGCGAGGACGCGGATGAATTCCGGCCTGAGCGGTGGTTGTTGGAGGAGGATGAGAGGCGGTTGATGAGTATGCACCGGGTGCATGAGCTCATTTTTGGGTATGGAAAGTATCAGTGCCTTGGCCGGCCTATCGCGATGATGGAGATTGGCAAAACTATTTTCGAGGTGAGTCGAGCACAGCATTCCACCGGGCATCTTGTTGATGAGCGGTTGGCTTCTTTGAATGACTTGTGAGCTAACGTATTGGGCAGTTGATGCGCAACTTTGACTGGTGTCTCGCGAAACCTGATACACCATGGAAGGAAGCGAACCACGCCGGTGTCTTCACTCACAACGACATGTGGGTACTCGCTTCCGAGCGGCCTCAATTTGAATGAGAGAGTTCTTTTTGGTTAGGGGTTTGGCTTGATTGGAGTCTGGCGCGGGTGGAAGAGGTCCAAATAAACGGACTCAATAATGGGAACTTTGGGTTTCGGGGTAACAGGATCCTAGTTGGCTAGCTGGTTTTCAAAGTCTATTGTAGTTGGATGGCGCGGGTTTGAGGTTGGAAATGTGTTTCCGGGCTAATCAATGGCCGGCGGGATTCACATTGATAGATCGTGGCTGCGGCGCAGCCCGGGGTCCATTGCCAGTCTAGCCGATCGCGGTCTGAAGGCCGCCCGGTGGCTTAGGCGATGGTGAGGAATGTTTATGCAGTCAGCAGAAAACCACCAATGGGGGGGTATCTGTCAATACATATCAAAATGTATTTGAACCTGAGATCTTCCATCGATGTCACTAAATGCTCATTTGCACTTGTGACTCACATGGAATTCATTTCTTCAATAAAAAGGGTTCTTGATGTTCAAGCGACTTGACAGCATAAAGTTCATTCATTTATCAAAGGACTCGCAGCACAAAAAGGCCCCAGTTAGCTAAAGACCCCTATTCCGACAAAAGCCCCCACGCAAGCTAAATTTAGACGAGTAACCATAGTCATGGGTCAAACGAACAGCATCTCGGCAGAGATTGAAATCCAGGCCCCGCCGTCGGCAGTGAGATCAGTGGTATGGAGCTTTGAAATATAGCGAACCCGAGGGCGCGTTTCGGACAAATGATAGAAATATCTATTGAGGCTCTGTGCTGACTTTGCATCCAATTAGTTTCTCAAGTTCAGTAAATACAAGCAGTGGAGTCAGAAGTGGGCTTTCGAGCCGACTGAGCCGGGAAAGGATCCCTCGGATCTCAAGGACGGCGATAAGATCAAGGTTGACATGGGAGGGATGGCTTTCAGTCCGGTCATCATGGTGAGTAGCAGCTACTTTCTCTCTGCTAGATGGATTTTGCTTGTCTGTGGCACTTAGAATTGCGTTGACTGACTTTGTTCCAATATCTAGGAAAACACAATAGAGACGCTCCAATGGGTGGGGTCGATTCCGCTCTTGTTCACCGGCAAACATGAGTTCTGGTTCAACCCAAGTGAGCAAAACTCTGGAGGCACCAAGTTTATCCAGGTTGAGGAGTTTCGTGGCCTGTTGGCGTTTCTTATGGCACCAAGGTGGGGTTTCAGGCAGAAGACTCTCGTCGGATGGAACCAGTTCAATGAAGATCTGAAGAAGGAAGTTGAGAGACGCCCATTCTGAGGCGTAATTCGTCTCGATCAAAGACTCTTGGCGAACACTAAGAGACAAGCAGATGGTTTAAGGGTTGGAACTGAATATGACTGAAATGAACTTTTGATGATAAACAAACGCTGTTTCCTCAGACTAGTTTACATACTGTCGGATTGGAAGTCCAATTCGACCTCGGGGCAAGCGCCCGCGCAGGGACCACTTACAACCCATACTTGCGAGAATCGCAGCCTGCCCAACCTCCGGTTGGAACCTCCCTTTTATACCCTTACGCAGAAGTTAATATAGATCAATTGACCTCTTCGTCAACCCACGGTTCGAACCAACTACCCTGTGATAGGGATGCCAACACATACAAACTTGAGTAGAAAAGAAGCCCCATTTTCAGCATCAATCACACTCTTTGCCGCCAACTATAGTGCTCCTTCGGATCCCGCAACAAGTCTCTCATATCCTGAACTTGCTTCACCCGCGGCCCCTTCTCCAGCAAAAACTGCTCTTCAGCAAGCTTTGCATACTCGAGCGCCTCCTTCTCCATGCCCAAGGAGTTGTAATTCAGCGCAGCAAGTCTAAACGCATCGGACCCGTGAGACTGATCCAGTTGCTCCTGTCGATAGAGGGAAATTAGTTCCTCAATCGTCTCCTCGTCGACCTTCGCGCCATTCCAGTGGCTCATTTGCTGCTCGATCTGCCACATTTTGCCCAGGCGTTGATCAGAGGAGCGGATAAAGGCCTCTGAGAGACTGCATTGCTGGCAGGTGCATCCGAAGCCCCAGTTGCGCTGGGCTCGATCTTGGCGAACGGCGCGGGAGCTGAGGGAGTCGACGTAGGAGATTGTAAGTTCCTCGCCGGGCTGAATGTCTTTTATGGCGTGTGTGTAGTGCCGCATATCTGATTCATCGATGTAGAAGGCGACGCTAGGCTGTGTGAGTTGATGAAATGGTGTATAGCTTATGAGCTATGAGAGAACTTAGGTAACTTACTTGGGCCTACAATCGTGGTTGTAACGCGAGACCTCTGGGTAGTTGCCAAAGTGATGACCATCTCTAATCCCAAGGCCCAACTCAAATGAGTTGGTGTGCATGATATCGTGTACCTTCTGCCCCGTAGACTGATGCTCGCGAGACTGACCCATCTGCGCCATGAAAGCCTTTCGGGTATCGATAGGAAGCTTACCGGCGGCAACATCAAGCAGACGATACTGGTTTTCCAGATCAATATCATCAACAAACCTCCGATGCACAACAACCGCCGGCGGATGAGCCATAATCCGCTGCCCGCGCCGGATATGCTGGTTCGCAATCACACCCAGCCCCTTGCCGGGCATCTCAACCACGCGGAACAGCTCACTGTCACCCTCGCCCTTGATCGACTCCTTTGCAAAAGCGGCAAGATGAGACGCCTCCTCGGCGTTGTACGCCGTGCTTACGAGGACGATCCCGCGGCCATTGGCGAAAGACGGTCGTGAGTAGGCGCAGTAAGCCCCCGCGCAAGAGTGAGGGCCTTGCCAGCCTTCGTCCGAACGCCAAATGTCCTTCTTGGGTCCCTTTCCTGTCCTATTTCCGGCGACATTGTCAAGGACAGGCGGTCCTCCAGAAGCGAGGATTGTAGGCTTACTGCAGGCGAGTTGAGAGTCTGGTAGAAGCGGGCTTGCGGCGCATGATTCGAATAAGGGGACTTGGGCCTTGAGGCCGAGTGTTTGACCAAAGGCTAGGCCTGCGAGAAGCATGCGTATACTCATTTTGAAAGTTGTTTTTATTGTTTTTGATGATTCTTTTAAGGAGGAAAGTTCGGTCTGATGTATTTCTATGTCGCTGAAGAGCAGAAAGCTCGGGACGACCCTCGATGGCTATTTTTGATGTTTCAAGGGCGCGTTTCAAGATCGCCGCACCGAGGTCCGTGAGTCGCATACAAGTCTTAAGCTAACCTCTTCTTGCACACCTTAAAATGCGAGGAACTCCTGGAGATTTGTTACCAATTGACCCTTCTGGCGGAGTGATATAGCAAGATCAAGGAACTTGCTTTTAGGCGCTGCCGATCTTGTAAGGTGGCGGGCTAAGGCGTTAGCAGGTTTTATGCGCGGACACTTGACGAATATTCAATATACCATCAACCTAGGTGAGGTACAGAGCGGAAACTGTGAAAGTAATTAATAAAACTTGGGTAGGTTAGTTCCGAAGATATGAGATTCAAATATAATAACAGTGCAAAGCGATGGTCTGGTGAGTGCTGGGTCCTCATGTAGACACAACTTCTTGGTATACACATTAGCAGGGCAGACCTTTTGATCGCAACGAGGTTAATAGTACTGTATTGGTCTATTGCGCGTGAGGTAGAAGGAGGAGGAATTCGACCAAGCCCACGATTCCTTGAGAGGTGGTAGATAATGGGTAGATCGTAAGGGTAGGCCCGTATCGCCTTCTAAATCTACCTTTTCTGCCTACTGCCCAGAGATCCAACACAAATACTGGCCAGGACCAATGTTTTGAGCTCTAGGAAGCACGTTCACAGATTTTGGGGTGGTCAGCATTAATGCGATGCGATACGATGCGATGACGTTGGCCCTGCCAGTGATTGAGACGGCAGAGTAGACAACAAAGACGAAGATGAAGAGGACGAAGATTGGGATGATGGTTGAAGTGAGGGCAAAGACAGACAGATTGAGATGGAGATTTCTTTAGGACGACTGAGATACCGGTGGTCGAATTTGTACCGTAAACAAAATCCATTCACCGCTACGAATACTGAGCCAATACCCACTAAATTCGGATCTTCTTGGTGAGACTCTCACCCTTCTGATGCCTCAGATCCAGATTCCCTAGTGAAGTACGCATCTGAGGAGTCGCTGTAACGAATTGAGTTGCCTTTACGTTTCTGTCATAGGCTTTAGTTATGGTAATATTACATCATTGCAGCGAAACAACTTACTGCAATTCCAGGGAGAAGGCTCAAGAGATAAATAGGAGTTCTGTTACAAGCAGAAAGCCTGTCGAGGCTGCTGTCAGATTCCTCTGTGTCGCCTTCTTCGTCCTTCCTTCCATCCTGAATTTCGCGATCAGAGGAGCTTGTGATTTTAGGATTTTTATCCGTGTCGGAACCACTCTCCGGTATGTCTGTCATCTGAATTCGAGCTGATTCTCCGAAATGTGATGTAGATTGTATACGAGATATTTCCATGCGCGTATCTCGAGCTTGGAAGCTGTCTGAGCCTAACAATCTCTGTTGAACAGCCTCTATTTCTTCCAAGAGTTTGATTCCTTCTTGGGCTTGGGCGATATTACTTGTATGTTTATCCGTCAACATCAAGGCCAATGTTTTCATGTTCCTCAATGTCTCCTGATTTTCAGGGCCGAGGGCAACCTTTTGAGCCGTCAATAGCTCCCTTCTTAGCTCTATAGCTTTAGCCTCATATTTGGCCTTTTCGAGATCGACAGCTAAGAATGACATGGTCTTGAAAATACTAGGATGTATTTCCGTCGGAGGGCGTGCCGGTGGTGTTCTCGGGCGCAAGAGATCTGTCTGATCGGAAAGAAGCTTTTCTCGCTTCTCTATGAGTTCTTCCGACGTGATGTGGTGCATGGCATTCTCACAAGTGAGTAACTTGTTGATCGTCATGAATGTTACGGGATCACGAACACCGCAAAGAAGTTCAGCAAGTTTCGCAGCTGTCAATCTCATTCTGCGGGCCTTGAAAAACTGGCCGGTCTTTCTGAAAAGGCTTGCGAGCTTTCCAATCGTTGATAAATAAGGAAAGAGATGAACTTTTTCCTGGTTGCTGGGAGAAGTGTCGTATTTTGCCTTCCGTTATCGAAGAACGCTCTCTTGTTGATTAATCGCTTTTGTGAACTCCTCAAGCTTACTGTAGGTAAAGCCCAAATTGACCTTCGCTTCAAGGGTATAGGGGTGAGATTCTTCAAGTGTGCGCCTCCAGATAATTACTGATTTCTCCCAAAGCTGACAGATTTTTCGTTGCTCTCCATTTTCGTTATTCAACGAACTCTGGGTGATGAGAAGCCTGTCATGTGCTAGCAAGGTTTCCGGATGGTCGGGCCCTAGGATTTTGTTTCTTCCCTCATACACACCTCTTCGTAATTGCAGCGTCTGGAGATAACGCCCATCCCACTGGTAACTGTCTGCTAGAGCTGTTTTGGTTGCTAGAAAATCAAGCAGCTCGGCATCTGTTGGGCAGTCCTTCAGCTTGGTGTCGCGGAAGGTTAGTTCCCGTAGATCAAGAGCTCGCCTTCTGTGATACAACCCACAGAGGAATCCGGCAACCTTCCGGCGTGTTCGAAATAGCCTTGGATCTTGCGGCGACAGGGCCTTCTCGCGCAGGTCCAGACATCTCTGGGACAGCAGGAGGGCTTTTTCTCGCTCTCCTACCGCCCACGTGCTGTCTGCAAGATTAATCATCGCAGCGCAATGGTGTTGCGAATCGATGGGGCCGAGAAGCGCTCTTTGTAAATTGATTCACGGAGCGAATACGCCTTCACATGCTCACCGAGCTGAGCTGCATAAGAAGCTTTCTGTTCCTGAAGCTTAGACACAATCCGCAAACTGTCATCAAAAACTCTTCCAGCTTTCAACTTAAAACAGATATCCTCAATTAGGTTTTTGGCGTTTTGATAGTGCCCCGTTGCTGCGTATGCTTTTGCAAAAAGGGAAATAATCTCTAAGACTATCGCTGCATCTTCGCCACTGATGTTATTTAAATATGCTCCTAGGCCGGATTCTGACTTGAGGTAGCAGAAGCTTAGTACTTGATGTAATTTGAGGTAAGAGAAGCTTCTGCAATTCGAGGCCAGTAGGGTCTTCTACCCAGGACAGTGGGGTCTTGATCCCACCTAACGCTGTCGCGACGAGGGATATGGCTTGAAAGGAATAGCTGACCCATTCATCAGCAGACAAGATCGTGGTGCACACTGTTTGAACAACTTTGTGCAGAGAATATTATCGCTTGGAAAATGAGACTTGGTCAAGAAGGCTGTATCGACACAAGATCCCAATTGCCTCCCGAACAACGAGCGTGTCCCAACGGTCCTTTGATGGATCCAGAAGCTTCAAGGGTCTTGATATGAGCGGAGATTCTTGCAAGTTTTTCCAGGCTTCTTGAAACATGCGATCATCAATGCCGTCGTTATGTAAGAAGCTCATGATTCTCAGTAATTCGATGGCTACAGCAGATCCTCTCTCCCGCAATTCCTGTATTCGCCGAATTGACAGCGTTAAGGTGGACCAAATTGTTTGTTGATGTTGGTCTTGTTGGTAGAGAGGGCGCGAGAGTTCCTTGTTGAGTAATTCCTGAGGAACTACTTGAAGTTCTTCGAGCTATTCGGAATACGTGCAATGATTGTTGGATATGTAAGAGCCAGCCTGAGCTATAGCTAGGGGCAAGCCTCCAAGTTCCTTGATTGCAATGATCTTGGCTGACTGAATTTCATGAACATCCGGCTCTACTTCTGGCTTCTTAAACTTCAAGAGAAGTTCAAAGGCTTGATCGTCGCTCATACTGCGAATCTGGCAGTATGTGTGACAGTCTGTCGCCCATTGGGACTCATCAGATGTGACGAGAATCGTGCCGCTGCCCGTTGACGGCACGTATCGACTCAAAGGTAGCGATAGCTCAGTTACGTTGTCTATCATCAGTAGCCATGGTTCGTATTGACAAGCAAGCCACGTTCTTGTGATACGTATTTGCTCATCCACTGAAATGTCCTCCCAGTGATGTTGGATATGGCAGATGCGAAAAATTTCAACGTAATTGCTGTCTGCTATAGTCTTGTCGCTTGCATTAACGTAGAAAACACTTCGAAATCTGCCACCTTTGTAGTCAGCATAGCTAGCAGTAAGAGCAGATGGATGCTGAACCCACCTATGTTGCTGTTCAGAGATTGCTTTCAAGCATATTTGGCTCTTTCCCATGCCAGAAAGCCCATAGACAAGAACACTCCTTGGAGATCTCCTATCGGCCATGTGCCAGATCTCACTTTCTGGCAAGAGCTGCTATGGTGTGTCACAGCGATCTAAATATTTGGCGGACAATCCTGGTCGCCGAGTCTGGTATTCTGGCCAGTTCTGGCTCAACGTTCTGTCACATCTGTAATTGGAGCTGAATCCTTCACAGCATATTAGCAACCATCTGAAATGAATAAGAAGTCAAGGCATACCAAATAGTAGACTATCAGAGCATTCGGCTCGTCGTTTTTTTGGAAGAGATACTATGACCATTTTCAATCTCAGAATCAAGCTCGTCGTCGTTAATATGATGTCTTTTTGCAGATCCAGCCTGCATGGAACTGAAATGTCGGCTCAAAAAATGGTCTTGTTGTATTGCATCACTACCTCTGTTCGAGTCATTCGCTTTAATCCGAAGGTCAGCACGATAATGACCCAGACACGTTCGTTGATGTAGTCAAGACCTACGAATATCGCCGACATGAGAAAAGAACACCGCATCTGGCGTGCTGGGAAGTATTTCTTGGAGAACGGCCTTCGCGTATGCTGCTGCCATAGCGGCAGCGTACGGTTGCCATTACTTGTTTTTGTGCTCGTCCCCATAATCGCAAACGCCACGAATGACACCAACAGGTATACGATTCATCGTGCCAGCCGCTTCCATCTCAAGTCCTATGATGTTGAATCTGTCCCTGAGCTCATCTCTCTGTTGAGAGTTTCTCATCAGCTTTTCGCCTGAGCCTATTGGGCCATACCAAACCCTGGTGCGTTCCTGATGTGACCGAGACTTCCTCTCGACTCTGCACTTAATCCCGTGCTCATTGAACTCGTGGAGTACATCATATTTTTGGCCAGAGTCTTCGAATTCGTTACCGCCATGGCTCCTTCCTATTATTTGCTGGTAATAGGAAAGAAACGACTCGGCATCATTGACAGCGTTGAGCCGGATCTTCCCAATTGCAGACCTGACGATCGTTTCGGTTTCAGCAAGAACGTGCCCGAGACGCAGAGGTTGGAAGCTGCCGTCGCCCGTGTTCTTCCCTAAGTAATATGCCACCAAGCCGGCAGTGTTGTCATCAGGTAAAGCGACCAGTACGTCTCCGAGCCTGATGTCTCGAGGTGGCTGACAGGAGAGATTTGGTAGTCCAGCAGCAACGCCAACAAGTAGCCCGAACCAGAGATTCGGAAAGAACTTCCGCACTTGGCTAGCGAGAGCTGCTGCTGACCCAGTGCCATACTCCTGGCCAGCGGGTAATGTAGCGATGATAATATTGTGCCCGCACATGCTGCCCGCATGGAACACGTAATCATCGCCCCGAGACACTCCAAACCGTCCGTCATGCTTCTGATCCAGCATAAGCAAGGCTGCCTTGGCCTCCATGTAGAGGGGAGCAATCCATGCCACTGTGTAGAGGTAGCGATCAAGCTCCTCTTCCGTTGAGTGTTAGCGTCTTCTGTGGTACTGCATGGTATAAGAATACAAAAACAGCTGCATCATGAGCAGGAACGGAGTCTCCCGGTCAGGATAAAGGATGGATGTGTCGACGGTGTGAGGAGTCTGGTTCGGCGGGAGGGGAAAATGTTGAGAGCGCAGCCTGATTCTTAAGATGCAGACGTTACTTAATCTGATGTGGGATGTCTCCCAATAACTTCAAGCCAGTCGGCGGCGAGGACACCAATCACGTTGTCTCCGAACATGCATAGGAACCCTTATGGAAGTGACCTTCATTTTGCCAAGATGGCTTGGTCAGCACGCTCACAAGCTCTGATGATTGATCGCCCTTGTTATCGTCCTCGTTCGTAGCGCCTTACTAACAGCTTATCACTATTACCGTAATGATTAAACCTTTTGGTAAAGGTATGATGAGTCAGTAAGAAGCCTTGTAAAATTCTAAATATCACATCTCTGGTATCTACTGACCTGAGAAGTTAATACTGAATCCGTTGCACGCTTGTTTTAACGCCCTTGCTATCTGAAGTGAAGGCGGGAATGGTATTGATATCATTGGCTTGGGGAATGGATTACACGTTGAGATGAGGTGGTTGGAGGAGATAGAGGAGGTGTTAAGTTCGGAAGTCGGGAAAAGATGTTCGGTGGTGGACAATTGTGATGGGTTGAGGGATAGTTATCGATACTCGAGCTTATTGCATCCCCTCAATCATAAGTATGTCTACTTATGGCTTGAGATGCGGCCGGAAAAGTATGGGAGCTCATGACGCTTCTTTTGGCCTCGAAAGTTGGCAAGACCTTGTGTTTGTAGTGTCTTCAGAGCTGCATTCATCAATTGTTGCTAATATACTCTCAGAAGCCATATATCATGGGCAACCAACTGAGAAGGTAAACTAGGTACTAAGAATTATTTACGTCGCATCACGCATTATCATCTAACGTTTCCACGTCTCTCCTTCTCTTCATTATATAGCTCAAGGAGCAGCGGTTGCAGCAGGCAAGCAGGCGCAGGCACTGCTAGCCTGAGCAACCTTATCCTCCTTGGCACAGTTCTGCACAGCGTGCGCGGGAAGAACACTAGCATCCTTGACAGGCTTGCTCAAGAACGACTTGCAGAAAGCCTGCGACTCCTCGAGACGGCCGGGGACGGAGGTGGCGCGGAACGAGCGCAGGCAGTTGTCGGCGTTGCAGACGGGGGCCTTGGGGCAGTCCTTGCCGGTCAACTTGACGACGAAGGCGCCGCGCTCGATGGTGTTGATGAAGATGTAGCCTGAGGGGAAGTAGGCGTACGAGGACCAGGTGCCGACGAAGCCGACGTAGCCGCCGCCCTCGAAGTCGTCGTCCTCGGGGTAGATGTCAAAGAAGGCGGCCTCGCATACGCCAGCGCCGGTGGGGTCGGTGGGGATGGAGGTACCGTCGAGGACGCGGAGGCCGGCGCCATAGTGGGATTGGTAGATGTAGTTGTCGATGACGTACTGGTTGTGGTCAATGGCCTTGGTGGGGTGCTTGAACTCTATAGTATTGTTAGTTGGCCGTTGTGGTTTCGGGTAGGCTGTTTATGATACGCACCTCCGGTCTGCTTGGGGTTCTCAAGGTCTCTGATGTCCCAGATGAAAGTGACGGGGTAGCCGTCTCCGCCAGGGCCGTTGCCGCGAACCTGTGGTACCAAGCATTAGCTTTTGCAACGGGAACATCGTGTTCTTTAATCAACTTACCTCGTCAAGCTCGTCATCGAGAACAAGGAACTCCTGGTTGTTCACGTCAAGGACCCAACCCTGGTGAGTGTAGGAAGCACCCTCGTACGAGATACGGGAGATGATGTTCGTGACGTTGGCCTTGTCGGTAACGTCGTAGATGGTGAGGGTGTCCTCGTTGTAGCCGTAGCAGATATCACGGCCCTGGTAGCGCTTATCGGGTCCGCGGTAAACCAAGCACTGAGCATCGTGAACGTACCCATCATCCTTGGCACAACCCAGAGACACTGGGTTGGCGGGGTCCGTCAGGTCGAAGAAGTTCAGACCAGCGGCGCAAAGGGGGTCAGTACGGGGCGCAGCACCGACAGCGACGCCGTAGTTAAGCTCCTCGTTGATGACAACGTTGTGAGCACGGCCCAGGGGCAAGAGGGCATTGAAGTGACCGGTCAAGTCGGCTTTGGCGTCGAAGACGACGGGACTGGCGGGGTCAATGTCCAGGAGCTTCTTCATGTCGAAGATCTGGATGCCGTGGCCAACGGCCTCGGAGCCGATGACCATGTAGTGCTTGTAGGAGCGGATCTCGCGCCACTCGGAGGGCGCCGAGTACTGGGGCAGGCGGCCGAGGTAGACGAGCTTGCCGTCCGAGAGGATCTCGGCGAAAGCGGTACCCTCGTACTGTCCGATGGCGACGAACTCACGTCCATCGTCGTTGGTCCATCCCCAGGAGGATGAACCCTCAGCAAGGGGCCCACCAAGGGCAGCGTGGCTGACGAAGGAGTACAAGTCGGCCTGGAATATGTTATTCGAGTGTCTCGGGAAGAGCCCTGTTTCTGATGGGAACCTACGTTGTTGCACCTGAAGGTGTTGTTCCTGTCTCCAACGACGGCCTCGGCCCAACCGTTGACGCAAGGTGTGTAACCCAGCTCAGGCCAGACCTCACTGTTGTAGGCACCAGCTTCTCTCTGGCGAGCGAACTCGGCCTAATGTTGTGTGTCAGTCTCGACTCCTGTAGTCATGTTTTTGGTTTCTTGCTCACCTTCTTAGCAGCAATGACTTGTTCGTGGACCTTGCCAGAGTCGTAGAACTCAGCGGAGATGGCATCGTTCATCTGGATCTCCTTGGCCATCGCCGAGGCGGCCAGGACGGCGAGGGAGCCAAGGTAGGATGAAGCGCGAACCATGGTGCCGGATGTCCAATGCAAACACTATGAGCGTGTTTTGCGTAATTGAAAGGTAGGATTGGACTGGAATGAGCGAGGGAGATGAATTGAAGTCTGGGTTCCCTTGGAGATCAACAGAAGCTGCTGCCATGAGAGGTGGGCATAGCTCTGGATTTATATCCTGACCAGATCAGATCGGAGGGTACGGATCATAGCAACCAAAGTCCCAATCGTGCCTGCTAGTCATTGATTCCTGTCATGGAAGCTCGATATGCAGTCATGTCGGGATGCCTGCTCGCGCCTGGGACTGCTGGAGTCCATCGATCTGGGCATTGTCTCGGCGCTACTGGGGTGGACAGAAAGTTGGTAGAGCAAATGTTCCTCATGGAGTTGCAACCATGGGAAACTCGGATGCGACCAAGACATGCCAGGCCTGCTGCACCGAACATGTGCCTGGCCATGTAGCCGTATGCAAGACAGGCGGGCGGTGCAAATAACAGCAACGGTTGCCGGCCAGTCACGAACGACGGCAGAGTAACATCGCACAGTGAGGAGTACAACTATCCCACTATCCACAGACTTAGCAGTGAGCGATAATCAGAGAGCAATTCCGGGCGATAGTTGTGCTCGATTGGCCACCCGCTCGAGCGTTCTTGGAGGCTCTTGGCGGAAGTCCTGAAAGGGCAGGTCCCGGGATTAGTATGGCCTTGGCGGACAACGGTCCGGGGAAGCTTCGCAGTCACGGCGCAGGAATAGCGGAACATGAGAATCCACTCTTCCGGGATGGCCTCCTTTTCCTTGGGCCGCTCTATTTTTTCCCTCTCTCTACGAAGATGGCAGCATACTTCGTATACGAGGTGCGCAATCACTTGTTGGCGTGATAAATATCGCAAGTTGGCCCTGGGGAGAGGTGATGTCACCTGGAGATAGGAGTCTTTCCATCTTTACTTAGTCTCGCAAGTAGCTGTAGCAACTCAGAAGATTTAGTCGATTCTGACTGCGCTCTATCCTTACTCTATGTCACGGCTTACTGTTCCGACGCGACCAATATTGAGCTTCCTCTCCGGATCTACGGATAAGTTGGGGCCCAGGGTCTCCAGTCCCCAAGGCACGCTCAACTGCATGCGACCTCACTTCACCAAGCCCATGACGACAGCTCCCGCGTGGCTCCCCAGGGTGGCCGAGGCGTCCGAGCAGTCCCCCCCTCACGAGATGCAGGCTGGCACGAGATTGACAGCGGCGATGAGGCTCGCAACAGCAAAAGTCCTTTGGGTGCGCGATGCATCGGCGCCAAGGCTGGTTGGAGTGGACCAAGTACCTGAATCAAGCAGGACGTCAGCACCTATTGGTTGGACAGAGACATGTTGATAGGCACCTGCCAAGCAAACAAGCGGCTGGTCCGTCTTGACATCCAGGCTGCCTTGTCCAGCAAACAAGTTGGATACGATGGGAGGCCAGAGCTAGCTGGCGACGGCGTTGCTTTTTTCTGATATTGGGCACGATGGCTTCCCTGTCATCGAATGTCTTTGAAGACAGAATGTCTAGGCCACAGCGCCTAGGAGATTACCAGGAAGCGCCTCAACGTGTTAGTCAGAGTTAGTGAGTTTCTCTGATCGTCGACTGCCGTCTACGGAGAGAAGGTCGGTGGAAATAAGCGACAACACCCGAACTCTATCTAAAAGTTAAAAGAGTTTATTTCCCCTTCAGGCACCTCCTGGCGACTGCATCTGCAAAGTCAACAGGGATCGTATCAAGCCCCAGTGTGACTGGTTCCCCAAATCCCCACTACACATTGGCTCTTTTGCCTCACCTCCATCCTCAATCACAATGTTCTTACTCGGACTCGGGTCAGCAATGCAATGTTTACCCGCTTGATTTCCGCACGGGGTGGCGGGATGGTATCATGATATAGAGGCCAGCATTAGAAACAATCGACTGATTCTGAATAAGACTGACTGAATTGACAGCTGAAGTGCATTGACTGGGGAGACATTACCCACTGGTCTGACTAAGAAAGCCTACAAGACAGTCAAACCAGCAGTCAAAACGCGTCAGACAATGGTCGCTACGCATTTGAGTCTCGACTGTATTATTCCATGCAATTGACTACTACAGCTGCTAGCCTTTTCCTGGCCCGATTACTTCTATTAAGCCGCCTCCATGTACTAGGTTGCCACCAAGCGCATCTTCTCACTCAATTCGTAATGACTTATCCGACATTCCGACTATCTCCCCCGCTTTAACTGTCCAAGCCGCGCTAGATTTGAAATGGCAGGAGACCAGAACCATTACTTTGGGCCAACATCACCAGGCCTACAGCCGATTCGGTGTCTCCGCCTCCACAAGTCATCCAGCATCCATGACTCTCGATTCACTTCTGAATGTACTTTCGTATTCACAATTATACCCTACCAGCCAAGACTTCTCTCACGGCTGCATTTCCCCATTGTTACGTTGGTCTATCCAGGTTCCTCACTTTCGGGTTTGTTATTGACGTACTCCCTCGCCAGCCAACAATGAGGGAGTGAGGGAACACTGCCTCGCTAGAATCGACATTGGCCAGGGCTTGCTGTCTTCCCTTGACCTTTATGGTGCTGAGGTAAGTAAAAGACCTGATCAAAGCCAAGAATTGGCCGCTCTCCAATAAGCAATTCATCCGCCGGCCCACGCGTTGGCTAGACGAACAAATCTGGGCAATGGCGATAGACGAGGACGGCAAGACGTGATCAATTTATGTTTTTCTGACTTGTTCATGCGCAAAATTTCTCTTTCGAACTCAAGAGACTCCTCTCTTTGCTCAGCAAGATGAAGCGTTTTGCGTGCTCATACACATTCACAATTGTCGTCGGCGTGTAGCACTTGGCAAAGTCCACATTCAGGTCTTCCGACTTGAGCCGCTGAGTAATTACCTCATCCTCTAGATCCGTGGCTTCCTCTTCCGATCGGCGACACGCATGATTTGCACTAGATGCCTGCTCGTTCTGTTGCATTCATGCACCTTTGCATCTCGCGTGGCTGCACATGGCCTACAGACGCATGGGTATGGCTATGCGGGACGGACACACCACGACTGTCGTGTCGTTCCGCTCGGCTTCCGTCGCTTCAGCTCCATTCTCCCCATCGGGCTGATGTAACAGCAGCACTCGCGCGGTCTATCGTTCTAGAAGCCGATGTGAACTTATGGGGCTAAAGTAGAGATGATCGTTTGGCCTAAACCCGGAGCAGCTTCTTGGCAGGGGCCGATATGGAGGCTTCTAGCATTAGTTTGGCAGCAAATGATCAAGTCAAAGTCATATAATCTGGATTTGATTCATATTGCTACAGCCAAGAAATCGTTGACATCGCCGCGTTTGGCGGCAGCTCTCAGACCCCCGATCTGTCTAGTCCTTGTTTGCACTTGCACGCATGCCGGTCGAGTGAATATTGTCTTCGTGATGCTCAAGTGTCTCTGTCGAAACCAACGGCCCCTTATTCACATGAACTTTAGGTGGACTAACGACAAAGACGAGCTTTATCTCAAGAGACGCCTCAGAAGTCTAGTTTGTATCCAAGTTATGTTGGCAGTAGGCACAGACATGGGTGGTTGCGAACGTATTCCCATATCCCTACATTGATCGTATCAGTGGCAAGAAGCTGAAAAAGCTTTGTTCATTCTTGTGAAGCTAACTTAGCATCACATACATGATCTGATGCGGTATCTCAAGACGAATTGCACCCTGTTGTTTCTCGAAGTCCTGCTTGAGGTCACACTCACACATGTCCCGAGCGCTGCCATCCCATGCTTGCTTGCTCCATACGAGATGAAGTACGTTGGCGAAGATTCAAGGGAGCGAAAAGAATGGAAGCTCTCGATCTTGGAGTGCCCAAAACGGCTGGCCCTACCAGGCTCTTTGTCTTGATGTGGCATTGAATGATCGCCAGCACCGACCTCGCTGCGGCATTCATGCATACGAACGACACTGATGGCCAAGTCAATTGACCTGACTTGCCCTTGGTACCATCTTCCCTATCTTCTTGTCGTGCAAACATCCAGCCAAACGAGAAGACATATAAGCGAGACGGAAGACACATATGAGCCAGTCTTGTCATCATCGAGAACATATCTCCTTTTATCCTTTAATTTTTCGAAACCAAACGCTCGTTTGCGACTAACAACACAATGTTCGGCTCGCCTCTCTCCGTGATCATCTACGCCCTTATTGTAGGCCTCGTCACAGGCCACGCGATCCCAATTGACACGGCCATTGATTCAAGATCTCTCGACAAAAAGGGCAGAGAAAAACAGCCCTGGGCAGCTCACGACGTCCAATGCCACAAAGAAGCCGACTTCCCGGGCCATGCCGACATCCACGCCGCCTGGCAATGGGAAGCTACGAAGAGTTTCTGCGACAGCGACCAGGGGAAACGAATCTTCACGACCTATCAGGATCCGGCGGAAAATCATTACCCGGTTGTCTACAGATTGCGCTACAGGTGGAATGATATGTGGAAAGTCAACTACGACTTTTACGTCCAGTGGGTGGCTGGCTGTAGAACGGCATTTAGTGCGCAGAGGGTCGATGATCCGCTGCTCAGCAAGGACGGAAAACCGTCCTGTGCATCCATCATGAATAACAATTTCAAAAAGTGTAAGTCATTTAGAAACATCTTTAACATGAAGTTGATGGATTTCCATCATGTTTTCTTAGATCAACGACCAAAGTCATAACCGACAATCACAACACGGAGCACTGAGCTTATCTTGTGATTCGCAGGCAACAACGGTGGCGTCGGCGGCGCAACGCAAGTTGGATGTCTTCTTTACACGTTCAATGGTGGTAAAGGCGACACTTTGCTCACAGCGTCTGAGCTTCAACAGCGCAAGATCTATGATGAGAAGAAGGGGATCACGAGAGTGCAGGACCCATGAGGCAGGCGCAGACTTTCGCGCCAGCCTTGGAACGCTTTGTGCTTGAGGTGGATATTTGAGACAGAGACTAGTGTAATATAACAAAATTACAACCAATGTGAGGTCTGCGAGAAAGGTATGGGTAACTTTTCTTCTATAATTCTCAAGTGATTTTAATCTCATGAAGCTATGTGAATGCAATTCCCTAAATACAGAGCTTTTTCTAATTACTTGTTGTTTCAGGACCTCCGACTCTTTTCTATCACATTTTCTGTCACCTTAGAGGATATATCTTAACATCGCGCAGCTCAGACGTAGCCTGATCTTAATGATACTGTTGCGATTCAATGATGATCTTCAGTGCGAATGCCTTCACGTACTTTCATGTAGCTGCTAGCGCTGACAGTATGTTCTTGTGAACTCACCGAATTCTCAAGGCTTGCGTTTCATTTGACACAATTCTATTTCTTGAAGTAATTTGAACACCGTGAGCCGAATCGTGCTGCCAACACGTGGTTTTCCTTGAGCATCAATTCAAAGATTGTCGTAGAGGAAGCCACAAAGCTTTGCTTATGAATCTTTGCCCGTCAACTTTGCGAATGACTCTTTGCATCTCAACTTGATATGGCGACGAGGTTGGACATTGTCGGATCTTCCTCCCTTAATCCCCTTATTGAGTCGACTAGGCATAATTTGATTGGTCACAGTCGTGTAGGTGGTTATATGGTTTCTAAATTGTAGTTTGGACTCCTAAAGTTGGAGAAAGCGCTTCGTGAGGTAGGTACAAGAGCATTTGCTCCCAGTAGCCTGCAGCTTACGACTTCGGAACCGTTCCGTGGCAACTCGATAGGTAAGTGTTGTTACTGGAGTAACGTCGTAAGAATGGTAAGTACTTGTGACTCCCCAAGTCCAAAATTCTGTCCAGGACATACGGGAGATATCGATTATCATAAATCAATCGCAATATCCCACTGCAAGTCTTCAAAGCATCTGGGTTGCGCAAAACCATGAGGGAGAATGTCAGTGAGTAATTGCTGCAATATTGGTGGCTCACCGAACCCCACGACGCAAGGTGGGTGCGGGTAGCACATGCGGGGAAATGTGCCGGAGCCCGGATCCCAGTCGGTATTCGGGGGTGGCATACTTCGTACTTAACCCCCACTCTTCCCCCAGCCTGTCGAGTCGCGGTGCAGCGCAATTCCCGTGAACTCTAACGTTGGGCAACCTCTTGACAAGATATTCACTCGTTTCTGCGACTCATCTCGCAATCCACAAACTCTTCAAGATGACGGGAGAAGAGGAGGACTTTGACCTGTCAGGTAATGAAGAAGCACACTCACCCACAGCATCGGGAGTGCGTAGAAGGTCGGTGGCTAGCTCGACGCATCCGACGAGGTCTAAGCGTGCCAAATACGCGGCTGCCGCTTGGTAAGTGAAATCGAGTCTCATGGACTGAAATTCGGAAACTGACCATGCAATAGCACCGAGTGCAAGAAGCGGAAGCTTAAGTGCATCAGACTAGAAAATGAGGAAGAGTGCCAGAGATGCATGTCAGGTGGTGTCGCGTGCACATTCGGCCCAGCTGTTACTCAAGAAGGCGGGACTGTCGCAAGAGAAAGGGTCAGAAGCAGGAGGAAGTCAAGACAAAACAGGTCAGCGCTGCATCTTATGCAAGCGAGCTCCGAGTAGTTGCTTTAACATGCTGACTCGCACCAACAGTCAGCCAAGTACTGATCTTCGAAGTGAGCTCTCAATGCTCAGGGAGCAGGTAGCCACACTCGCAAGCACTGTGGGCAAGCTAGCCTCAGACAAGCATCGTCAGGGAACGTCGGCCTCTCCAGGATCCCAGCAACAGATGTCTCTTCACGACAATTCTTCTGTCCAGGGAGAACGAGAACCAAAGCAACCACAGTTCGTGGGGCCCACAAGATCAGCATTCAGTCTCAAGGTTGCTGAGACGTCATTAACGCGGATGGGAATATCGGCTCACGATCCGGGAACCACAGCGGTTAGCGAGTCTCTCGCGCCCACCCGATACCCAACTCCCGAACAGTCCGAACCGTCACTTTGGGCACCTGGAACGGACATCCTACTCACTATTCCACTGGAGGAGTTCGTGAGACTTCTTGAAGTCTTTGAAGAAGAGGTAGAGATCGTCTACCCCTTTATCGACACGCGTGAGATGATCTCAAAAGCCGCGGATATTCGTGCGCATGTGGAGGCGAACACGGATTATACGGTACCTGGCGCAATACCAGGCGTAAGTGTAGACATCAAAGATGTTATTCTCGCAAAAGTAGCTATCGCCATAAGCATGGTGGTTGAAGCACACGGCAAGAATCACTCAAGCAGCAAGCTGGTCGAACCTGTAAAACACCTCATTTATCAGCTTACGCTTGATGCCGAGGCAGATCTCAAGGTCATTCAGATCATGGCCATGATTGTAAGTCCGACAAACCCATAATCCTGGTAAAAGAAGCGACTGACAAGATGGAAGAGCATCTACTACTTCTTCTCGGACGAAGAGCTACTTGCATGGAGAAACATCGGCATTGCAGCGCGAGCATCTCTAGAGATGGGCTTGCACCAAAATTTGAGTCTCACAGACAATTTTCCAGACCCCCAGACACGGAGTCTAGCAGTCCGGGTGTTCTGGTGCGTCTATGTCTTGGATCGTCGCTGGAGTTTCGGGACCAGTCTATCCTTCGCCCTCTTTGACCGAGATATCGACCCGAATTTGCCTGAGCCAGTAAGGCCCCTCACTATTATGCAGAAAGTAACTTGTCTAACCTGGGATTTAGTCTGAAGATTTCCAGTATCTTCGTTGTTTGATAGGTTACGGACGGTTATGCTCCAAGGCATGGGACGCTTTACCTCCATTCAGTGCACCTTCTCAGTCTATCCCACAAGATACGGTCGCATTCCTCGATTTCACGGCACAAAATTGGCTCAAATCAATACCCCCTGATCTTCAATTGCGTCACCCGCAACACGGCAGCATACAGACAGCCCAACCCCGCTCTATTCGCCGGCTGAGAGCTCTTCTATATCTGCGGGGTAATCACATCAGAACTCTGATACATCGACATCATGTCATCAGCTCAACAAGCATCGAGGCTGATGTAGAGAAGGCTCGCCTTGTTGTGGACATTGCTATCGATAGCATATCAGTCTTGGTTCATCTGAGCGAAACGAGCGACATTTACGAACGACAGCAAAGCGCATTCAACTATTTCCTGTTGAGTTCCCTCGCGGTCATCTTTCTCGCCGTTTGCCATGGTACGAGAATATTTGCCGAGCCATGCAGAGACAGCTTTCTTGCCGCTGTGGAGCTCGTCAAGTGCTTTTCTCGACAGGGAACAGCCAGTCGCAGACTTTGGAAGAGCATACGAGGTCTCTTGCCCCTAGCGCATCGCATCGGGCTCCGTGGTGACGAGCATGCTGGTGGCCGACGGGTTGATGCGGGCGAGCAACCGTCAAATATCATCTCTAGCTCTTCTCACCCCATGGACACAGTGATAGAGGAAGAAAATCCTTCGTCTGCCGTGGGATTGGACTCAAGCTTTGCAACGATCCCATCAGCGCAGCCCATGGGTATGAGTGCAGAGTTTGGTGCTGGGGCCCCGGATGCATTTGCTCTGAGCAACGATTTGATGTTTCTGTTTGACGCTTTTGGTCAGAATGAAGATATTTGGGCAAATGGGATGCAGGACTATGTGGGAGGTAACGAACAACAGCCGTCATTGTCTGGAGAGGAGGAGATTTCGCGTCACTTCTGGGGTTTGATTTAGACTGGTGTTGTGGAACCGATAAAAGGACTATTGTCAACAACAAAAGATGTATATGTAAGATGCCTGCTGCTTGTCGCAAATTTCGGCCAAATACGATCAAAAATCACATCATTATTGACCAAAGACAGGAGGACGGGCGCATCATAAAGCCTCGGGGGTTCGGAGACTTCATTTTCTTCTTGAAGATACGTGCCGAGTTAAATCAACCAGTATTTTTGTTTCATATTGGTCGCTGGAAGTGTGTACTATTATCTTGAATTGAACTACGTCTTATACTGGGTGTTCATTCCTTTTCTACCTCAAATCTTTCGGCTTAGCTCACCTCCTCCATCCCCCTATCATTTTCTTCACTAAAGTACCTAGCCTAAAACATTGCCTATCAACCTCCGGAAAACACACCCATCACGCCTTCTCTTCTGTCGCTTTCAGAGCGTCACTTAGCGTGCTAGCATCACGGGGTACGAATCTCGACTTGTACGGCCTAGGCATCGCCACGAGAGAGGTAGGATCGGCGTTGCCAGAAATGGGATGGTGATCCACATCGTCATGCTTTTCAATCTTGAAGCTGTTAAGGAGTCTCATGTAGACGAGATATAGCTCACGGTTGGCCAACAAAGAGCCAGCGCACATGCGGTAGCCGACGCCGTACGTGAACAGCGGCGCGTCGGGTTGTTCGAACCACCGCTCGGGGCGAAAGACTTCGGGATCGGTCCATACTTCAGAGTCTGGTGGATGTTAGTGGAGTACTTTGAACGGAAAGCTCAAGGATATGTCTTACCCATATTGCAAGCCCAGGCGTTGAGGAAGATGACTGATCCTTTGGGGATGACAGTCTGTCCGAAAGGAACATCACGAACCGAGGCTCGCGGGAGAGCGAGGCGAAGGACAGTGTAGTATCTCAAAGACTCTCGCACCAATGCCACAATGTATCGGCACTGTTGGTCATCCTCGGCATCACAGAGAGGTTGCTTCTCGCTGTAAAATTCTCGAATCGCGGCGGCAGCCTTGTCCTGGATGTCTGGGCGCTGAGAAAGCATGGCAATAAACCAGGCCACCTGAGTCGTGATGGTGTCGAGACCTCCAGAAAGCATTGTCAAGCTGATTGACGTCAGCTCTGCCTGGTTCAGCTTCGCATCCTTGTCCATGATGACATTGGCTTGGATACAGGGCTTGTGGGTGCCGTTGGCCATGCGCTCATCCAGACCTCTGTTCAGGGCAGTCAGGTAGACATCGCGTCTGCTGCGCATCTCTCGTGCCTTGGCAGAGTGCATGTTGATAGGGTTGATACGCAGCAACGGGATGTAATCTTGGAGGTTACCCGTGGTCGACCGGAAGCGGCTGATTTCTTCCTCGACATGAGTGATCTCCTTGAAGAGGTTATCTTTCTGACTGCTCATGCGAGTGCCCCAGTTCAAAGTCAACGCAAGAGACAACGACAGGCGTTGGATCATCGGCATAGGGTCGACGGGAGCCTGTCCAGCCTTTCCATATTCGTAGAGCTCCTTGATGAAGTCCCTCGATTCGACGTCTAGATGCGGCACATAGGTTGCTACTGAGGGTCGGTTCAAGGCCGAAGCAGCGCCTTTGCGGCGACGCTTAAGAGAGTCGCTGTAGGGAGATGTGCCGATGGTCGTTCCGGCTGTATCTGAGAGAACCTGCATTCCTTCCATCAGCCTCATCACCAAGGCATTGGTCCAACACATCATGTCATATTCTGCTTACCTTGTGGAAAGTGTAAAACTCAGGGCGGGAACTGAGTGCCTGGGCATTCTGTCCGAAGAGAGCCCTCGCAGCGGAGGCGGAGTTCACGACAACGACAGGTACGTTTCCCAGCTGGATCTGGTAGACAGAGCCAAACTTCTTGGCCCATCTACGGTACTGCTCAGCCGCATTGACCCGAATATCCCACAAGTTGCCGATGAGTGGCAGCCCTCCAGGACCGTCTAGCTTTGCTATCCTAGCCTTGGAGCGAATGAATTCATTTGCAATGACGTAGATGAGGGGTAGTAGGAGGATCGAAATGGCGGTTGACTGCAGGGCATGGTCGAATATTCTTTGCTTCAAAGCAAAGATGGCAGTTGAGATGGCCATGGCGTCAAATTGAGATGTTTCTGCGCTCCAACGTGTTGTAGACGGTGAATTGTGTTGTGATTCTGATTCATTACTCGAGACCGCTAGCTACTGCCACCAGCTCCATGATATACGTACAGACCCAGCTCGCCGTCCTTACCCGATCTCAGAGCCGTTTCCTGAGTCTCAGAAGCTTTCCTGTCGGGTCCCGTCGGTACTGTCCTTCCTGGCAACCCGCCATCTGGAAACAGACCTCTCGGAACTGGTTCATTACAAAGGACACTAATTCCCCGCGTTCCCCACCCCCAGGTCACCTTGCAGATGCGGCCAGGGGTATGATCCCCGCACGGAACGTCGGGATGGCTTGCGAAGAATGCGGGGTGCGTTCCGAGCGGAACCTGTGGTGTTCCGAGTAACAAGCAGTACCATTGCCGAACCTCTTCCTGGACTTTTGGATCTCTCAATGATCGATAATATGGAAAGAGCAAGCATTGCCCTGCTTGAAAGTCGCATGCCAGCAGCCAAACGTGGCTTGCGCTACCACCCCTATCCTCTGAAGTCCAACTGGATACGGCAGAGAGACGTGTCGAACGTAAAGACAAAGATATTGTAGCCGGTCCTTATCTATCGCCATGAGTCAGAAGAGGAACAAAGACACGTTCTACAATTATTGTCATTTTCGCTACAAGGATGGCTGGCATCATCACAACTGACCAATCGAGTGACCAATTGCCTGCTCCTTGTTGACGTCCAACACTTCTGCAACATCAGGACCTTGACTCTTGTCGATCACGGAGAGGGTAGCTCACTGCTGTTTATTGCAAGTCTGTGAGGCGTGTTACATCTGGTGCCCGCCAAACCCCAGTGCCCCAACTGCCCTCCCTCGGAATGCGGAAATCGCCCATGCTCAGTATCTAGCTTCTCGACGAGAACGGACAAGTGCCGCTACGGGGTTTCGTCACCAATTTCGCAGCCCTGGACGCGACTCCCATCCAACTAGAAACATCCAGAGCCTGTCAAGATCAAAGCATTAGCAATAGTTATTCTGCTAGGCATTGTGCCGCATCATCAAAGTCAGACTGATGCTGATAGTTCGCGCTGGATAATCCCAATTGCCGGCACACCCGCGTGACTGTCTGGCTATCACATCCTTCTCTTGTTCTGAAATCTGCCTCCGCCGTGCCGGGTGCCCCAATTCCGTGTTTCCGGACTCAAGAGCGACAAAAGAAAAGAAAACGATATCCAGCAAGAAGCAACAAACCGCAATTATCGATACAGGCAAAATGACCCGAAATTCCATCATGAGCCAGAACGAAACAAAGACCGACGATCAGCTCAAGGCAGTCGATAGCGTTCCCGGCTATCTGGTTCTTTCCGATGAAGAACGTCTCGCGCAACTCGGCCATCAGCAGGAGCTGAAGCGGCAATTCTCTTTGACAACCTTGGGAGCATTATGCCTATGTCTTATGGCAACATGGGAAGCACTTTCCACTGTCATTGCCCAAGCACTCCTGAATGGCGGTGCGCCATGCCTATTCTACAACTTGTAAGTTCATGACATCCATTCGAGTCTGTTTCCCTCAGGCAGTGGAGAAGCTTTAATATGTTGTCGAGCATGGGTTGACAATTTTCTCAGTGTTCTTTCCTTTCTGTGCTCTGTGTGCATAGCATCATCTCTTGGCGAGATCGCGTCCATCTATCCTACTGCCGGAGGTAAGATTATAACTCTAGCCTCTACATTCTCATAGCTAACTACTTTATTGTAGGCCAGTACCACTGGGTCGCGGCCTTGTGCCCCCCTCGTAGCCGATCCTCGCCGCTTTCACGACTGGTTGGATCTCCGTGGGCGGACTGATTGTCTTCTGCGCATCAGCAGCGTTTGCAGCCGGCCTGCAGACCCAGTCCTTGATCGTCATCAACGACGACTCCTACATACCGGCACGATGGCAGGGCATGCTATTTTACTGGGCTGTGCTCCTGTACTCAGCGGCGCTGAATATCTGGGGATCAAAGATGCTGCCCCACGCAAACATGATATCAGGTAAGACAAGAGGGGTGCACCTATAGTCTCTATACGCGAGCTCTCGCTAACAACTATTCAAGGCATTCTCCACGTTGTTGGTTTCATAGTCATACTGGTGGTCCTTGGCGTCATGGCTCCCAAAAATACTGCGTCGTTTGTCTTCACCGAAGTTGTCAACACCAGTGGCTGGGGAAACGATGGTGTATCGTGGCTCGTGGGCTTGATTAGCGCGGTTTATCCTTTCCTGGGGTAAGTTTCCTCTACAAACTATCTTCCCATCTATGATCACCTCAAGGGGTTGCTGACTTGGTTTAAAAAAGATACGACGCTGCTTGCCATATGGCTGAGGAAATTCCCAATGCCCCACGCAATGTCCCCATTGCTATGGTCGGAAGTGTGACAGTAAATGGCCTGATGGGCCTCATTTACTGCACAGTCCTTCTGTTCTCGACAGGACCACTGGAGTCTCTATTGACTACACCAACTGGCTTCCCCTTTATGCAGATTTATCTCGATGTCACCAGATCTCGGGCTGGAGCGACAGTGCTCTCGCTCCTAGTGATCTCGATCGCAATTGCTGCAACAGTGAGCGGCATTACCTCCGCTTCCCGCACCCTCTGGGCTTTCGCTCGAGACAGAGCTGTTCCATTCGACTCGCATTTCAGCTACGTTAACAAGAATCTTCAGGTTCCAGTAACCTCTATAGTGTTCGTTACTGTGGCTCAAATTCTTCTTGGCTTTCTCTACTTGGCCAACACTACTGCTTTCAATGCAGTCTTATCTATGGCGATTATCGGCATCTATCTCTCTTACAGTATCCCTATTGCTTATATGTTGTTCGTCGGTAGGAGCAAGCTTACGCGCAAGGAGTACGGACCTTTCAGATTGGGCGCGGTTGTGGGGCCAGTCTTGAATGCTATCAGTCTTGTCTGGATGACCGTCGTCATCATTTTTAGCACTTTCCCTTCATCACAACCGGTCACTGCCCAGAATATGAACTACTCTACCGTGGTTATGGCAGGTTGGTTGGTCTTCGGACTTGTGTACTACTTCATCCGAGGCCGAGCGAAGTTTGAGGTTCCAGTTGTAGTTTCGGATATCGTTGAAGGAGTTAGGGATATTTAGGCATTCAAGTCGTGCTGGGCAGCTTTCATCTCATCATCGAATTTTTATCATCCAGTCAAATGTGTTCGAATCATCGGTTATTTATAGTCATATCAAAGCATCGTCGTAGGATATGGCTTCAAGCTTGAGGATCTTCGTCTTGCCGCACGCGCCTGACCAGAATATGTTCAACTCGGGTCTGATCACGTAGATTCTCCCATCTAACTGCGAGTAGGTTAAAACTCACAGACTTCCAGCTACAAATGTCTTCGGATGTGCTTAGGCGGACTCATCACATCATCTTGGTCAATAACACATCTCTATCCTTTTATTCAATGAACTAGCACTTAAGGCTTCATGCGAATCAAGATAGGCACACACACGTCGAAAAATTGCTTTTGGACACTAACCTTGCGCATGCAGGGTGCTGCATTCCTACTCTCTCATTACATTCTGTTTCTCACATACCTAGCTCAGTACCTTGTGAATGCAAATCCCAATCCGCTGACGTAACGACACTTTACTCTGGCTTTTTGAAATGGGACACCAGTCCCGTCCAACTATCTTCACTGTATCCCTTCTGGACCTTTTGACACGTTTCCAAGCCCCAGTCTGTCACTCCAATCATCAGAGAGCTTTCAAACATGAAAGCCATGCTTCCCTCGCCGATCTTCTGCGGCTTCAACTCGGCATTTGAGGCCCGCTCAAACGTGCTGGCATCAGGTCCATGCGCAGACATGACGTTATGTAGACTTGCTCCAGCAGGCTGGAAGCCGCCACCAGTCTTTGCATCGTAGTCACCACAAATGAGGCCCATGAACTCGGACATCGTGTTTCGGTGATACCATGGAGGGCGGAATGTGTCTTCCTGCACAAGCCAACGAGGCGGGAAGATGACAAAGTCGGCCACGGCTGTGCCTGGGTGGTCCGATGGGCCAGTGAGAACGGTGTAGATGGACGGATCTGGGTGGTCGAACGAGATGCTGCCTATGACAGAAAAACGGCCAAGATCGTACTTGTATGGGTAGTATTGGCCATGCCAAGCCACCACATCAAATGGCGTGTGGTTCTGTGTTGCAACAAAGAAATCTCCGTTGAACTTGTTGACAATTGACCACTGGCTTGAATCCTCATCGAAGGCTGCGGTCGGAACTTGAAAGTCCCGTGCGTTGGCCAAACAGTTGGAGCCGATGGGGCCCAGTTCTGGAAGTACAAAATGACCCTGGTAAAGCTCAAGGATGTATCCTCGAACTGGTCCATTAGGAAGATTGACTTGGTATCTGATACCACGTGGAATGACGGCAATCTCGTTGGGCCGGACTAGCAAGTTACCTAGCTCGGTCTTGATATCGAGCACACCGTGCTGGAGAACAATCAACATATCGCCATCAGAAGAATACATGGCCACGTTGGAATCCATGCTTCGACCAGCAGCAAAAATGAAGATGCCAAGACCAGTCTTCATGCTCGGATCTCCGGCGCCACCGACTGGTCTGAGACCACTGATCCAATCTGTCTCATTGTTGATGTCAAAAGGATCCCATCGCAACTGATTAGGGATCTGGTGGAGTTTGCCTCCGGAGTCGGGTCTATTTTGCTTCAACGGCTCAAAGGAAGAATGTGAAGCTGCTGGAATAATGCGATAGAGCCAAGTCTGTAGGTTTTCATGACGAGGCGCTGTGAACGCAGTGCTAGATAGCTTCTCTGCATACAAGCCGAACGGCGCTTTCTGTGGAGAATTGGCACCGATGGGAAGAGCCCCTTTGATCGCTTCTGATCTATATGAACCTTGGTTAACATCATGCCGACGAAACTATGGGTATTGACACTAGTTCTAGTGCATGGATCCTGAACTTACTCATGAAGAGACCCAAATCCGTTGAGGTACTCGTACTTCTCCTCAGTGTAGAAATTTGTCACTGGCATGTTTGTATGTTGGATGAGGAACGTAATCTCGAAACCCACTTATAATTGTCAAGATAGACGAGATAGACGTTGAGGATATCTTGAAAGCGTGCCTCAATTGTTTGGTATGAAACAGTAATATTTGGTCCCCTGGGTCGCAAATCTTATGTGTTATAAGAAGCTTTGGTTTTCTGTATGTTTGGGTGGCACAGGTGGTTTGGTGCACAAATTGGGATAGCACCACTTCAGTCGAAGTGATCAACCCCGCACTGCAGTGACCCGAATGGGAACGCAAATGAAACGTTATGGAATTAATGCTACGGGACCAATAGTCACAAAAACTTACGTTCACTGCGAGATGAAGTGCTTGGAGTCCATTCATGTGTACCTTCGGAACTGCGGAATGTGAACTGTTCCGAGTCACCTGGCTGCGACTCGGCTGCGGCTCCTGGACTCGGCAACGGTAGGAGCGTAGATGCTTGGAACAAGAAAACACCATGGCGTTGAATCTTACTTTACTATGGGCTTTATCAGCTATTGCACGACGCAAAGGAAGCTCAAAGCCATAAATGATAAAGCTGCACTGGAGGGTACTACGATCGCCCAACGGCATTCTTGTCGCAACGAACTCGCCGTAGATTCTCAAGTTTCGATGTTTCACTTCATCAATAGCTCTTTGTAATAAGAATCAAACGTTACTATCTATGAAAAGCTAGTGCTTTGTGCCTGGGTAAAACTGCCAACAGAATAAAGAAAGATGTGTCATTTCACAAATTAAGAATCCTCCTGAGGCACTTGCTATTAAGTGCTTTATCGATGGCATGATACGCTTCTGTATTCAATTCTATAAGCGTGAATTTATACATGCCTCTCATGGCTTCACATCGAAATAGGAGGCAGTATTTGACCGACACACTCTCCGAATCCAACTAATTGACCATCCTGTTCGCCAGCCCAGCCTCGAATAACTACCGTATCGCCGTCTTGAATGAACTTCCGCTCTTGCCCTCCTTTCAGCTTGATTGGAGTTTTGCCCCCCTGTGACTGCTCCAGCAAGCTTCCCTGCGTACCTGCTTCGTCCCCTGAAATGGTACCGGAACCGAGAAGGTCTCCAGCACGAAGGTTACAGCCAGAGATTGAGTGATGAGCTACCATCTGCGGCCAGGACCAGAGAAGATTCTTGGCAGATGTGCGAGTGATGGTTATTTTCTCGCCTTCTGATGCTACATGATGAGAAAGATGTTTTTTGATTAGCCCTGGTTTCTTCCAACATAGCACAACTACCACTTGTGTACAGTGGTCAGGGATTTCAACTTACGAGCAAGAGAGACTTCTAACTTGATATCAAGAACGTTATCGGTCCGGCCTTCTTGGAGGTACTTCTGCAAGTGGACTTCATTCTCCAGACCTTTTATTCTGAATGGTTCGAGTGCGTCCGCAAGCACAACCCAGGCGCTAATCGTGGTTCCGAAGTTCTTCGCGTTGAACGGACCAAGGGGCACGTATTCCCATTGCTGGATATCTCTTGCGCTCCAGTCGTTCATCAAGACGTAGCCGAAGATGTGCTCGTCAGCATCTTTTACAGACACCGGACTACCGAGGTCATTTGGCTTGCTGATGAACATGCCCATCTCGAGTTCAATATCGAGGCGCGCACATGGCCGGAAGACGGGCTCGGTCGCGCCAGGAGCCGGCAGCGCCTGTCCCCATGGCCGCCTGAGGGGTGTTCCAGAGACCACGACTGAGCTTGCACGACCGTGGTAGGCGACGGGCAGATGGCTGTAGTTCGGCTGAAGGGCGTTGGCTGGTCCACGGAACAGAACACCGACGTTGTGAGCATGATTTCTGCCAGCGAAAAAATCTGTGTAATCTCCGATGGCGAAGGGGAGGTGCATGGACACCTCTGAAATGGGTCTCAAAGCCGCCTTTCTGAGGCTTTCATTATCCTTCAACACGTCCGGGTGGGGCGTGTCGTTGAGGAATATCTCCTGCAGATAGGAGCGGACGGCACGATGCACAGGTCGCCCGAGTTCTGCAAAGGCGTTCAGGGTTGGCTGTGAGAACGCTTTCGCGAGCTCGGAAGACACGTTTGCTGCTTTACTGAAGCCTCCGCCCGTAGCAAAAGCGTCAAGGTCGAGGATGTGTTCCCCGATGGCGATGGCGGGTCTGTGTACATGCTTATCTTTGCTCGATATCACCCCGAAAGGAATGTTCAGCAGCGAAAAGTGCGACCGGGGCGGGATAGGCAGCCAGGACTTCATCTTGCGTAGTAAGATGTGAAAAACACTAGCGATCTAGCTGATCCAATGCCTTGGTAACTCGCGTATGTCTGATCTCTTATTTTAACATGCTTCCGTTCACATATTGGTGATCGCCGAGCCAGCCATTTACATTGCTGGTTCCGAGAATCCGAATTATGGTTCCGAGTCATCGGAATGCAAGCAACCCCCTCTTTCAACCACGCATCTGCCATTGCGGTCGGGTCAGAGATTTTCGGCAGTGGAAATGTCTCGGCAACTATGTTGCTCATCCAAATGTAAAAACAACGGACAAGAAAGTTGGTCTCCAGGAAGGCTGGGTCTGTGTAGTTCAACTCTCAACGCCATTCACTAATCGAAATCCACGAACCACACCACGTCGTCCCCCGATTTGTGACCCTCTGAAAGAGCCAATTTATTACAAGATGTCCGAACAGATTACTAGAATTACTCTTTTCAAGATTCCGGACGAGGAGAATCAAAATAAAGTACTGGCGCTCTACCAGCAGATGCCCCAAAAGGCCTTGAAAGTGAGTATAATCACCTGGGCCTTAAGGATGAAGTCCATCGCCTTCTAGATAGCAATTTTTTTCTGATGCCACATGATGAGCTCTGAGCTTACCGATTGCAGGACGGCAAGCCATACATAATCTCGGTGAAGGCCGGTCTAGCTGTTGCTGATCAAAGGGCCCAAGGGTTCACGATTGCGGCTGTCTCTACATTTTCATCGAAAGAAGATATGGATTACTATGACAATGGTTGCGCGGCTCATCAAGAGCTGAAGGGAATTGCCAAGAATGCTCACCAAGGCTTCGCCATGGTCTTTTTCAAGGATCAAGTCACAAAGTAGATTCGGTTGCTCTCGACTTGTCTTTAGCTCATGAGACTACTCAGTTATCCAACCTTTAACCAAGATGTGGTGCAAAAAGTCGTCCCAATATGAAACTTTTACACCAGATGAAAGAAGAAGAGGTACACGAAAAATTGCTTGAGGTTCCAACGCATTAAAGTAGAACTATGATTTGCAGTTATCTTCAGACTTTGTACAGTGTACTTAATGATTTCCTGTCTGAAACATATTACTCGATGGTGTCATTTGAAGTTGGAACAGCGCGTAATGAATTGAGAGACGCAAAATCGTTCTCCTCTGAGTGGATTTAGAAGCTCGGCCCCGAAAGCATTCAAGGCCATAAAGTATAAAGCCATACGAAGAGTGTGCGGCAAATATTCAGCAGGCCTTATATATGTATGTCGAATGAAAGTTCTTCGAGAAAGGAAATCACAAATAGAGAGAACAAGTAGGGGAATTCCCAGTAGATAACAAGCACGTAGAGTTTCGTCTCGCCAAACGGAACTTAAAACAACATAGAAGTCTCCGACAGTGACCTACTCACTCACTCCTCGTTCTTCCTTACTTCGATAATCCAAAGCGGGCAAAGACCTGCCCGAGTCCTTCCCGAAGGCCTATTTGCGTCATTTGCATTCGGCCTGCCTGAAAAGTATGTTAGTATAGTTTCAGTGTATAAAAACGAAGCCGTTCACTTACACTTGAGCAACTCATACAACTGAGCCCTGCATTGCTGAGAGTCTTCTCTCAGCCATTCGAGAGCGGAGGCCAGAGTTGAACCGCGTCCATTAGTATCGCACCCCACAAGCTTCCGTCGGCGTTGTTATTGGGCTTGACAACGTGGATGGTGAACTTGTACGAAGATACAGTGTCTTCGCTGCCGGTTTCGAAGACCTTGATACCCTTAGTCTTGACGAGTTTGCCATCGACCGCAGCATCAAACCACTTCCCGTCACTCCGTTTTTTGTTGGTATCTTTGCAAAACTCTTCAACCCAGCTAGTGGCTGACTCTGTCGAATCTCAGACCACCAACATTACATGACTGAGTCCACCTAGCAACTGGTGCCGATGTCGTAGAGCTGGTTTTCGGGGGAGTCGATTCTGACGGCCTCAAAGTTAATGTCGCTGTTGTTGTGGATACTAAGATCGTGCTGGTACAAGAAACCGTCCACGTACGAGGTCGGCAGCCGCATGCATACCCTCTTCTCATTGGCAAAGCAAGACACTCCCCGGCCCCTCCTCCAGCGCAGCTGATTGTTCCACACTCCTCTGCACCGCACGAAATTGGCAGCAATGTCGGCGTATTTGGCAGTATCGTAGACGTGATTGTTGTTGGTGAGTCGGTCATCAGTGTCGTCTGCTTGCTTATACGAAGTCGTTGTAAATGAAGTTGTGGAAGTCGCATGTGGCAACTCGCAAGCCCCAGGGTCCAAACCATCTCTCCGCGCGACGGTATCACAGCTTGGCCTTCCCAAATCATCTTAATAGTCCAAGCAGATTGTAAAAGAGCCTTGAAGATTGACTTGAAGATGCCCCACCTCATCTTGAGCTTCCGATATCTTAGGTCTTCAATCTTGTGCGTCCAAATCGGAGAAGCTTTGTGCAATGTTTTGCTTCACAAGGGCCGTTATACCATTTTCCGGATGATCAGTAAGTCATCCATGTAGGATCGGAAGAGCGGCGCAAAAAACTCGCCTCCCCTGATCAAAGGCTGTACGGCGGTGTTCTGCGCGGCTAATTCATTGCCTAGGTACACGTCGGTTGACACAGGTAGTTAACGCAGGCTCACTCACAGCTCAAAAATCTTGTTCCAGCTGCACTGGCCAAGTTTGAATGAACTCACAATGCATTGTAGATCCTTGCGTTAGTCTTCTGTGCCTCAATGTTGATCAAGTTCACTCCATGTTGAACCCGAAGTAACGTATCCATCTTTCCATCCAAGTGACTGGGTGCAATATCTACTTGATTCCCGACGACTGGAGAGTCCCTCTGTTTTCTTATCCAGTATTTGAGGCGCTCATCATCCCACACGAGTCCCTGTGATGCAAATCTGTAACTTTTCTATGAATTCTTGGGTCATATGAGACGTTGCGAACCTTTGCGTTTCCAGTTAGGTCTTGATTCATCCTAACTCCACATTTTCGTTGGACGGAAGTGCCTTGTAAACCTCATACAGAAAATTCTGGATTCCCACGGTGGCTTGATCGAGGGCGTTGGAAATATACCGTTTGAAGTCGTTGCAGGTCATTTTCCTGGCTTCGCCGTCAGCACTTTATTGCAAAGACGCTGGGTCGTTGCTGATAGTCGAGGCCAGAAATCTTGTCAGCCAGCTCTTTTCCCATACGTGATCTAAGGATGGCCTTTGCGAGTTCATCCTTCCAACGTTCAATCTCTTCTACGCCGACCTTGACCACTTTCATAGTGCAGGCTGAGACAGGAACTGTCGTAGTGCTACACCATCTTGGTACGGTCATACTGGAAGCCCTCCTTGTTTCATCAACTTCGGGGAAGCCTTTCTTTTCAGCGTCCACGAATTATGTTCCAGAGTAGTACTTTGGTATCGTGATTGGTTGGCCCCTTGGCCAAGGATTCTTTATCTGACAATTCCCAATGCTTTCCACTCTGTGCAACTTTGCTCGTGGCGTTAGTCGTGTCATCAACACGCGTCCTGCAACTGCTCTCCTCTCAGATGCTTTATCATCCTGATGGAGTTCTTCTAGGTCATCCAGTTCGAGATCATAAATGAAGTCCCAGTCTGGGCAGACTACAGCGCAAGATTCGCCGTCAACAGCTCGCTTTCCGATCCCGGTCCCGATGTCTGTCGGGCAGTGTTGTTTTGTCGTCGTTGCGGTTGTACCAGTGACACTGCATCCTGTGATGGTCTCAGTGCATTGTCTGCTGTCGATGACGGTTGGATCTGGCTATCTCGTGAGGTAATCATAGAAGCCTTGTCGGTTGAAAACACCGGTTCAGAGGGACAAGAATGCGCAGGGCTGGTTTCCTGAGATATGGGTGTCGCATCTTTGCTGTTGCTGGTAAGGCTGATTGGCGTTGTCGACTTTGAGATGATACGAGACAAAGTTTCCAGAAAGGGTAAAAGCTGAGGCTGAAGATCTGGTAGTGCCAATTGTCGATTAAAATTGTTCTAGCATGTGAACTCTGTTAAATTCTAAGGTCAAGTCGAAGTTTGCAGTGGCTGATGCATCGGGTTGGTACGGCGATTGGGGGCTGGTCCAAGTCGAGACCATAGTAGCCAACAGATTCAGGACAGTGATGTATCGCATATTGGCCGCCGACTACGTGATGCCGTTCTTCTAGAAGTTCCAGGCACTACCCATGCTAAACCCAAGGTTGCTGGCCCTCGAGGCAACCCAACTATGACTGAAACCGGCTATCATACCGATCTAGCCCATGTACCAGCTGGTCTGCACAACCGTCGTCGCATATGGCAGCTTCTTGGAGAAATGTTCGTCGGCGATACACTCCCGTGGCCGGCTCGACAACGCTGGCGGAGCTGGACTTTTGGGCGACGCTTGGGCACGCAACAGCAATGCGTCTCGTTGTGCTGGGACAAGGCGGGAAACACGTTGTCCAATCCAATCTGGATTTCTTCCATCGACTTCGGTTGCTCTGAGATTCCCACATGTGAGGGCCATCCCATGTTCTTCAAGAGGCTTGAGGGTGGGGTGTGTAGAAGACGCGGCAGGGCGAGACCTCAGTACTGGCAGCGAAACAAGGTAGAGGAGAAGCAGGACACCGATAATGATGGAAATAAATAGCAAGGCGATGCTGAGACTCCAGCAGCGACTGTTGAAGAAATCTATGCCGTCCTTCGAAAGCTAGGATACCCAGTCTGACATCCCAGAGTACCTTGGTACGAGCTGATGCCTCGCCCTTGATAGATAAAGACATCGAAGAATACAATTCGCGATAGATCAAGCCTGTTTATTGCTGGCTGGAATTGAAGAACCAATGAAATCTCTCTTTGGGGCACGTTGGAGTCGAGGTGGACGATGTGGTGACGTTGATTTGGGGGGTATCTTCGCCCATTGTCTTGAAACAACGCGCTGAAGGGGACTTCTACTTTGGGGGAGACGCATACATGGATGGCATAATGTACGGAGAGTTCCTCGAGAGTGAGCCAGAGGAAGTGGAGTTTAGGATATTCTAGTGTCCTCGTGAAAACTGAGCAGCTAGCAGACTGTTCGTATTGAGAGACAATGAGCCTCTTTCAGCCTTGACGACCTTCCTTCGTCCTTTCTCATAGTATTATATGAACGTGACAAGCCCGTCCAGAACTCCTTGGCTCGCTGGAAGATGCGTTTATATGATGAAGAGACGTAGCGCGAGTTACACCACTGGCATCGTAAGGAAGTTAGCAGACAAGTCACGAGAATATTGTATGTGTGGGCACGGAGACTGGCAAGGACAGTTGGAGGTGGGGACATCACAGCAACAGTAAACACAGCGAAGCAACCGGGCACAGAATCAACTTGTAACTTTCGTCTCATTAACATCAACAACATGTCGACATTCGTGAATATCTTTCCTCCCCTATATCTAAGAAACCCAGTAACGAAACCGGGACTCTAGCACTGGAGCACGGTGGGAGGATAAGAACTCTCCCTCGCGTCTCTCTCTCTCTCTCTCTCTCTCTCTCTCTCTCTATCTAGCCTGTGTATGGGATCAAAAACTTTTATTATAAAGCCCCGACCTCCAAAATATGACAACGTAAAAGCCCGTTCTCCTCGCCCCCCCCTCTTCTTGTTTTGCCTTCTCTCGGCCCCAGGAGCCAGATGAGAGAGAAAAAGGTAGAAAAAGTGTGTGGTCGGGTCGCCGCGGAGGACAAAAGGGGAGGGGGAGGAAATCATTCATTTCCATTCATGGACACATACAGCCATTTTCTTCACACTCTCACACACGCACGCACCAAAGGGCGTGAGTGTGTCACGCGTGATTCCTGCGAATTACGTCGACCGGGGGAAGACAGCCTTGCCAGCAGCCTTGGCAGCGGCGAGAGCGCCAGACAGACCAAACTGGGAAGAGAAGCCGTCGATGCGGTGGGTGGCGTTGAGGTTCTTGACGACGACCATCTGGAAGCAGGTGGCGCTGCCCTGGCGGGAGGCGATGACGGACCAGGCGAGGAAGAGCTCCCAGATGCGGTACCACTTCTGGCCGTACTTTGCGTTGACGGTCTCGGCGTTGCCGAGCCAGTTACGGTACCAGCGCCAGAGAGTGCCAGAGTAGTGGACGCCGACGGTGTCGATGCTCTTGATCTCCCAGCCAGCGCTCTCGAGGCAGCTGACGTAGTTGGCGAGCGGGGTGGAGGCGTCGGCGCCGGGGAAGATGTGCTTGTTGAGGTAGAGACCCCAGATGAAGTCCTCGTATTGCCAGGCCTTGCGGAGACCGGAGAGCTGGACGTACATGGCGCCGTCGTCCTCGAGCATGTCGTAGCACTGGCGGAAGAAGGTGGTGAGTCTGCGGATACCGACGTGCTCGCCCATCTCGATCTGGGAGATCTTGTTGAACTTCTTGGTGGGGATGTCGCGGTAGTCCATGCAGAGGATCTGGGACTGGGTCTCGGGGACACCGGCGCGGCGGAGGCCGTCGTTACCCCAGGCGGCCTGGTTGCTGGCGATGGTGGCTCCGGTGACCTTGGCTCCGTAGTTGACACTGGCGAACTTGGCGAGGGTGCCCCATCCACAGCCGATATCCAGCATGGTCTCGCCCTCCTTCAGGCCGAGCTTCTCGCAAACGACGGCCATCTTGTTATCCTGCATCTCCTCGAGGGTCTCCTCGCGGGTGAGGTCGGAGAAGATACCACTGGTGTAAACCATGCGGGGACCAAGGAAGTAGGAGTAGTGGTCGTTACCCTTGTCGTAGGTGGGCTTGATCTGGTCCTCATCCTGCTGGCGGGAGTGGAAGAGAACATCGGGAGCGAACTCGAGGAAGATAAAGCGGAACAGGGAGTAGGTGAAGGCGAAGTTGGACCAGTCGTGGCGGTACTCGAGCGCGTCGAGGAGGTCGCCGTTGATGTCGACGAGGCCCTCAGTGTAGAGCTCAGCGAAGGTCTGGATGGGGATCTTGTTACGGCCGCTGAACTGCTTGCGGTCCTCCTCGTTCTTGAAGGTGAGGTAGTGCTCGACGGGGCGGCCGGGGAGCTTGGCCTTGTCGTTGATGCGGGGGGAGAACCTTGAGGAGACGGTCCAGAAGGCGATCAGGAGAGGGACGACGAAGAGGATGAAGAAGAAGATGAAGGTCTTGAGACCGCCGCCGAAGATGCGGGTGACCCAGAGAGGGACACCGGCAAGAACAGCTCCGAGGATCCAGTTAGAGAAGGATTCATTGCCGGGGCCCTCGGCAGGAAGAGGAGGGTTGTTGATGGTGGGGTACTGGACAGGAGAAGATCAGCTTGGGCCTGAGACGAGGGGAGACAAGACAATTGAGCTTGTTTGTGGTTCTTTGCAGTTGATTGAGACAATCCGCGGAATAGGGGTTTTGTAGGAAGAGACTCCTTACGTTGGTGGTCTTGACACCGCAATCCTCGCCAACGTTGAACGTGGAGGGTTTCGCGGCAGGGGTCGCGATGAAGGTGATGTCACCCTCAAGCTGCGCGCCGTCCTTGCGCTTTTCGTCAGCCATGGTGGACGATGTAAGCTGATGGTGCTTTTGGTAGATTGGAAAAGCTCCGCGGTCTCGGTCCTTTGTCGCGCGCAGCTTCGTTCTCTAACCGCGTATCGGGGGATACAAAGGAGGAAAGGTGGTTGGAGTTGTAGTTGGAGACTCGGCTTGAGAAAAGGTGTGGACAGATTTAAAGCTGGAGCTGTTTCCGACGCGGGTCGCGACCACCCAACAGAGGACGGGGGGAGGTTACGGGGTTACAGTGGGTGGTTACTTGGCATCTAGCAGCGTTTCTGTCTTGGCCTAACCGCATTGTGCGTTTCTCGGACGCCGCTGGGCCCGCTTTTGTGGGCAATTTTATGCAGGGGCGCTGATAAAAGAGGGCAGCGCAGCACACAACTGGCTGAGACGGCCCTGGCAATCCCAAGGACCCCTGTGGGCAATGCACCGCCAAGTCAGTTGAGGCCACGAAGTCACCAAATGCCAGGAAAGTATTCGAGAAAAAAGTCTTCACCGCCCGGAGGCCGGAGGGGTAGGGGGTTTTCTGGGCTTTCTAGACCGTCCAAGGTCTCTCCATTCCCCAGATCTTGGTCGAGACCTGTGATAGCCAGTCAGCCACACACAGCGTTGCACAGAAACGGTAGAACCTAACCGTCCAATTTCACCCTTCCGGGTTGTGGGTTTAGATAACCCGGGCCGTCCACAGCAACTGTCCAGGACCTGTCCATGTTGAGATGATGATGGTCACGTTGAGCCAATCAGACAATGCACATTTGCGAAAACAGCCTGGCCAAAATGAGCGGTGATGGGATTCAATCATAGAGTAGCGAAATGACGCCTAGGTAATCATAGGTAGTTGTGCCGTTCAAATGTGCATCTTGGTTCTTGCATGGAATGAGATGGGGAATCCGATTTCGGCCGAGCAATGGCACGACGCTAAGGTGCATACGTACCTTGAGATAAGGTATCAGATATTCGAGTACGAAGTACGGATACATAAGTAACTTTCCGGTTATCGAAGAGAGCCAAAGCTTCCAACAGCATGCACGGTGCAGATTTGCTCCGGGCCCGATCCGGGGTCCATCCGGGTTCCGGGACGGCGTTGGTGGGTACATCCAACGACAATGTGGAGTCCGCCGTCCCCGACCCAAGTCGCATTCCAGCAAGGACAAGTCCGGCCCGGTTCCGAGCCATCGTTACATTGCAGACAGTGCTGGGTTATCGGTGAGGAGGATCGAGGGCCCTGCATCCCGAAAAGGTAAACCGTATTCAATGGCACATGAGCCAATCAGAAATGCAGCCTTTTGGGTGGGTCGCCGTCATTGACAGGGCGTAACAGATCCGTTCCATAGTTCCAAAGTCCCTGATTCGTACATCTCCAAGGCGTCTGCAAAGTGCTCTATTAAAGGACTTGATAGTGTATATACGACCAATACACCCAGATTTGGTCCTAGCTCTCTATCTCAATCCAGTTCGGACGTACTCAATTATACAATCCCCTTTCACGAATCTAAACATCATCATGTCCCTCTCGATCCACGAAGTAGCAGCCAGCGCAGTCCAAGCCAGGTCCCGCATCAAATCCCACATCTACACAACCCCCCTCCTCCCAGCCCGCGTAGCAGGCAACTCCCACAACGCTCAAGTCCTCTTCAAAGCAGAAAACTTTCAACTCACAGGCTCCTTCAAACTCCGCGGCGCAACCTCCAAAATCTCAGCGTCCCAATCCCAATCCAATCCAGATAGCACCACCACAAAACTCATCACCGCATCCTCAGGAAACCACGGCATCGGCGCCGCCCACGCAGCCCACGCCCTCAACCGCGCCCTAACAGTCGTCCTCCCAGAAACAGTCTTCCCCGCCAAACTCGCCAAAATAAAATCCTACGGCGCCACCGTCATCCTCCACGGCGCAGAAACAGGTCTCGCCGAGCAACATGCCCAACAACTCGCCGCCTCGGGGGAGTATACCTACATCTCACCCTACAACGACCCCCTCGTCGTCGCGGGGCAAGGAACAATCGCCCTCGAGATTCTAGAGCAGACCGCGGCGCAGGGAATCCCCCAGCTAGACAACATCTTCATAGCCATGGGCGGCGGCGGCCTCATCAGCGGCATCGGCTCCGTCCTCAAATCCTTTGCCCCCAACGTCAGAATCTTCGGTGTTTCTGCTGCAAATTCCCAGGCTTTGGCGGAGTCGATCCTCGCGGGAAAAGTCGTCGAGACGGAGCATCTGCCTACCCTCGCCGAAGCGGTGGCCGGCGGGATGGACGAGGACTCGATTACGCTGCCGCTTGCGAGGGAGGTGGTGGACCGGGTTGTGGAGTGTAGCGAGGGGGAGATTGCGGATGCGATGAGGAGGATTGCGGTGGAGGAGAATATGATTGTCGAGGGCGCTGCTGCGTTAGCGCTAGCGGGGTTCGAAAAGGTGAAGGAGGAGGTTGGGGGCCAGACGAGTGTTGTTTTGCTCTGCGGGGGGAATGTTGATCAGGGGGTGGTGAAGAAGGTTGTTTATGGGTTGGAGTAGTTGGTATGGGATGTGTGTTGGCTTGAAAGGTTTAATCTTCAGGTGTACAGCTGCCGGGCTGGGTGACAATCATCGTCATTTTCGATGATATTGCTTAGGGGTGAGATCGAGCCGATGGCCATACGCTAGAGAGAGCCAGGCTTGGAACATGTTAAACTTCCAGTACATAAACATGATGTGGTGAGTACGAATTATTTACGTATTAGGAGCATTGTAGCTCCGAGTCTGCCGGAACCTGTTGTCCCTCATTTATGACGGTAAAATATTTCCAAAACTCCAAAACACCAAGCCTAACCAGGCAAACCCCTCCTAAACCTCATCTCATCTTACATCCACATCAAATTCCGGCTCTGCCTCCGATTTTGCTGCCACAACGGCCTCTCCTCAGACCCATCAGGCCGGTGACCTGCATTCGTCGCCCCAGCGCCAGCGCCATAGGGGCTCCCGTGTCCCGCGCCATCCGTACCGGAGCTAGTCGCCCTGTGCCCCTCGCGCCCGACAGCGTCATTATACCCCCTCGAAAACTCCTCCATCTCGCCTTGGTGCGTGAGCGGGGTATCGTCGCCCGTCGACCGGGACGCGCCGGACGCAGAGGCGCCGCTGGCAGGGTTATATCCTCCAGGGGCGGACGACGGCGGCGTGGTGGCGGATCGGCCTCCACTGATGGAGGTGGTGTTGCCGTGGGCCCCGGGCATCATGGACGGGTGGCCGTAGCCTGCTTGGTCAAACATCATCTCGCCGCCGGGCACGGGTGCAAAGTCCTTTTGATTGGTTTGCGGGCTGCCGGGAGGTTAGTTTTCGTTGGGTTCAAGTATGATCACGGTTGGGTTTGGACTTACACATAAGTGGGACCTTTACCGGCGCCAGGACCAAGACGCTTGTTGCCACGCTTACGCTTGCGCATCCAGAGTGCCACAGAAACGAGGGCCACGAACAGAGCACAGCCGCCAATGACACCACCGATGATGCCCCCGTTGCGTCTAAGTCCTGCCGCAGCAGCCTCAGCGTTGACTGGAGGAGCGCTGCTAGTAGCTGCTGGAGCCGACGAGGTTGATGATATTGATGATGTTGTGGAGGTGCTTGAAGAAGAGCTGGTCGTAGAACTGGTGGTTGAGCTCGAAGAGCTTGAAGTTGTAGAGGAGCTGCTCGACGAGCTTGAGCTGCTGGAGGAAGAGCTGCTTGATGAAGCGGTCTCCTGTCTCGTAACGAGACCCGAGATGTGCGTAATGGCCACCGTCGTGCTGAGACCTGATGCTGTGGCAGCAACAGTTGTGCCCTGACTTGTTGTACCACATCCATACTGGTAGGCGCCTCCGTCAAAGCTGTTGCGATAGCAGACATTGGACCCCTGGCAAGTGAAGATGTACGGATCCGAAGCCGTTTGGGTGGGGCTGTTGTCGTCGACACAGCTCGTGTACACACCCGTCGTACAGGCGGCACCGTTCGGGCAGCAGCCGATGGCCGAGACGGAAGCGTCCATGGCGCAATGGGAACCAGCAGAGCATGTCGCTGGCAGATTCGGGTCACCACCGAGGTAACCACAGACGGTGTTGGTGCTGTCGTCCTGCCTCCTCATAATGCCCAACCATGGTGCTGGTGTTGCCAGTGGCCAATTACGAACGTCCAATGTCCGGTAGGCGATGTGAACTTGAGCTTGTTCTGTTTGGCGGGGGAGAGCACCTGCCTCGGTCAGGGCGAAGACATTCGAGAGAAGCAGTATCGCGGCGGTAGGCGGCAACCGCGCGAAGCAGTCGTTGAACAACATCTTGTTGCTGTTGGTACGTGACACTGAGAGAGGACCTTTTCCTCCAAGCTCGGCCCTTCCTGGGCACTTCGTTCCTATTCCAGTTCCAAAGCTGACCTCCACTGGAGACCGGGATGAGTTATGATGAGAGGTGCTGCTCAGTGGTATCCATATAATTATTAACAGAGCAAAGAAGAAAAGAGACTAGGAGAAGGAGACGTGAAATCTAGAGTGACGAGTGAAAAGGACCAGGATAGGCAAAAAGGAAAAGAATGAGGAAGAAGAAACCGATGCTGACGAGGGATTGGGCGACGGAGTGTAATTTAGATCGGAACAGGGACCAGTGGAAGGGTGGATGGGGTGGGGGGGTTCATCCTCCGGGCCCCGGGGGGTCGACGCCAACGAGGCTGACGTTGATTGGGGAGCCGTGTTTCAAGGATCCTCCGATCGTGAGCATACCAAGATTTCGTCTCTCCCACTCGAGAGAATGAAGGTGAGGAGGGGCTACCCTCCTCACAGGGCTCCAAATGCAACAAGAAAGCATGCCTTGCCGTCGCATCACAGCCCGCAGATTCGCACCGCTCGGGGCGTTACCGGGGTCTGAAGATCTCTTGGGATCGTTGGGGCCCTTTGGGGCGATTTGGGACCTTTGGAGGGGGGAGGAGGCGTTTCTGCCGTGGGCCGTGGCGATGAGAGACAAGCGCCGCCCGGGACCAGTCCGTGCGGATCTGAGAACCGCGGAGGCAGCAGAAGGTGAAGGAGGCTCGGTGCCGGTGAGAGTGCGAAGTGAGGCTAGTGACTCGAGCTACGGGTGCTACGCATGCTACGTAAGAAAAGAAGAATTGGCGGACGTAACTTGGAAGAGTAGTCAGGAACAGGCAGAAAAGCATGGAAGACTTTCGCAATTTGCTTCTGCCCACCTGCCGGCCGAGCGAGTCGCTCACGCTTCTCGACAGGCCTGACCTGACCCAAATGTAATTCCTGATTGCGCGATGGGGAATGATAAGACATGACGAGATGGCCCGGCTGCGGTTCGTGAATAGAGTGATCGTCCGCTGTGCCCGGCTACAGACTTCTGCGCATGGCTCCCGTGTCTCCTGCAGGAGGTGATACAGATCGTACAGGCACAAGACAGCGTCTGGCCCCCCAAGATGCCAAAGCTGGTGTTTCTCCTCTGCTGGGACTTTGAAGTTATACTCTGAGCCCGCCCCCCTGCCCCCTCTGTCTCCCATGGTCCAAGACGATCTTGGGGGCGGCCGTCGGTCTTCTTTCAAGTTTCCAGTGTCCACTATCTTCGAGGGGCGGCGCCCAACTTGTCAAACTTGCATGTTGGTTCGACCGTTCGAGTCGAAATGGAACAGGGATGAGAGAAGAAAATGGTGAAAGAAGTCATTCGATGGGGGATATTGAAGGAGTTGGGGACCCAGCGGGGAGAATGGAGTTGGATCGTTGGAAGGAAGTGGGTTTGTAACCCAGAAGCAGGGGCCGTCGAGGCGCGTCGTCCTCGCTTGTTTGCGCTGCCTCCACCAAGCCAGATCCTTCGGACATTACATCCTGTATCTGCACGGTATCACCAAGCAAAACAACGAGAACAAACACAGTATCACAGTGTCCGGTGATCGGAGGCTGGCGGCAGTCATGGTGCTTTTTTTAACACGCGCTAATTCCCGCTCCGGGTGGGCCCCCGTGGCGATGCTGTCCAATCAGGTAATCAGGGTCTCGAGGTACGTGGGTACGTACCTCATCTTACACATGGGCAGCACACCACCTCACAACATGAGAGGAACACCAACTTTGAACTGGCAGCATCATCATCCCAAGCTGCGATGAACATGTCACACTCACACTCCTCCAGAGAGTAGTCCAAAGGACTTCATTCACCTGTGATATCGCCCAAGACACAGAGAACAGATGCCAACATTCTGCACACGCAGTCCATCCCATTCATGCATGCATCACAGAAGCAACGCTGTGTTGTTTCATGACGACATTCCCAAGAGTCCGATTGGTGTCAGCGCGAACTAACAAGCGTGTTCTCGGACACATCACAGGTCCATCTAAACTGCCAAAACGCCCGAGCTATGCTACAACGATGTTTACACATGATGCCACAAGCCAAGATGAGGTATCCTGGGCAGTCGCAGTCTAAGGTAGGTATCCCTCTACACATGACTCCCCCTAGCGCCAGGCCTGTCATCGCTGTCATATCCATCAGCCGCCAACGGCCTCTCCTCCATGGCAACATAGTCACCATCATCATCCACCTCCAAGCCCACATTCTTCTTCTGCTCCCTCGCCGCCTTCTTAGCTAATTTGGACTCCCTCTTGGCTGCTTTCCTCTCCAGCTTCACCTGCTTCTTCTCCTCCCTCGACAGCCGGGGGAACTCGCTGTTCTCGCCCCTGAGCACGATACCCGGATGCACAGCGTTGAGCAACACGAGCGCGAGCACCATCGGCAGTGCGTCGAGCCCAAACGCGTAGTTCTCGTTTGTCAGAATCGGGTTATTCATATTCGCCCCCGGTCCGAACTCGACCAACCGAAAGATGATCCGGATCTCCGCGAAGGAAAAAAATGTCAGCTCGGTCCGTTCATCCCGTCTTTCTTGTCAAACATGTCTCTCTGTCATGCAGGGGCTTAAGGGTCATGTTGAGGTTTGCAGGAAACTAAAAGAAGAAAAAGAAAAAGAAAACTCACAATGATGAGAACCAACACCACAAACATCACCAACACCATGGCCCCGATCCGTTTCAAATCGAGGTCGAATCTCTGTGCCCGCCTCATCTTGACGTAGAAGCGCCCCATGAGCCCGCAAAAGACGACGATGAAGGCGAGCTGCAGCCCGCACCCAATCATGTACACCTGCTTGCCGGTCCGCAGAATGGGGTCGTCCGATGCGGCCTCCGTGTTGGACATCATCGACCCGCCCGCCCCTTGCACCAGGAAGCAGACGACGTCCATGGTGACAAAGATTTTTGTGAGGGCCGTCGCTTTGACGCGGAAGACGCGCTGGTCGGGCAGGACGAAGTAGACGAGTCTGGCTGAGAGCATGTAGGCGAATGCATTGATCCCTGGACGGCGTCAGCTTTTTTCGAACTTGGACTTGGACTTCCTTTGCGGTTTGTCGCGCAGAATGTGATACGGTGCGATGTGGGAAGAAACTTACATAGTGGAGCGAGGAGGAATAAGAGCTGCCCGCCAATCTGGTAACCAATCTGCTGTTGGTCTCTGGCGCCGAGGGACCGGAGAATGAAGGCTGTCAGTTCCCATGAGGCGCCGACGCAAAGAACCCAGCAGAATCTCTGTCTTGACGTTAGCTTTGAAGACACTTAGGCTGGATAAGCAGCAATCCATACCTTTCTGTAAAGAATGGCCTGGACAATATGGGCGATGAACGACATCCCAAAGAGAACAGCAAACGTAACATTCCCTTCAAAGCTGGGATCAAAGGCATAGTACGAGTTGCAGGCGTCGATCGGGACGTGTCCGTACTTGCCCGGGACTGCCGTTGTGCATGATGGCAACGAGTCGGACGAAGTAACGCTCGCAGTAGGCGCACTGGCAGATGTTGCCGTAGCCATTGTTTGTCTGAAATGAGTTGTGTGTTGAGCTTGTCATCTTACTCCGTCCGAACTTGCGTCCGAAGTCATTGGTATTATATCCAGCTTTCCGAGGAGTCACTCTCCGACAATGACAGACATTCATCACGAAATGCAGAATGAGGCTCAGCTCTGGGACTTTGGTGTTGGCTTTCTTGGTTGATACAGCACCGCGCCGCGTCACTGGACGAAAAGCCTCCGAATCCTTCGAGAAGCTAGGCAGCCACCTATTGGGCACCAAAGTCCCAGTCCAACGGGGGCTCGAATGCCAAAGTTCTTAAATTCTCAAGCTCAGCCAGCTTTATGACTGATAACATTCCGCAAATTGGCGGCTGGGCTCATCCTCCACCATGACGCGGCTCAGTTCAAAGACGCTGCATCGCTAGGGCTGAAGCAGGTCCACGGCGAGGCTAATCACGTGGGCAAGGCGTCTAACTGGATACTGGCCGATGAACGATGTGTAGATCGAGACCAGAGACAAGCCTCTTTGGTGGGTACGTCAGAAGCTTACTTGCCTATTTTGACATTTCGTTGGCTTGCGAGTGGACGATTGGAAGCCAGGTTTGGCCTGGTGAGAAAAGGCTCCATCGCGAATGCCACGAAAACGTAATGTAAATGGAGGAACGGATGCCGTAATGAGCTTGGCATTGACTTTCGTTTGCGGTTATGAAACATTCACATTGCACTATGAAGTATGGGATATTGATCCATGTCTCATTACAGGTATCTCATATGAAGAACGGTCTCACTGTGTGACTGAGAAGAAATGAAGCCGTTTGATAGCCGTAGTTCCCAACATCTCACTCATCTTCACATGAGTGGTGAGTCTTGGAAGGTGCACAGGGCGAAGCTTTTTTATTCTTAGCAAGGAAGCCGCCCAGCTGCAGACGCTAAGCCCAAAACAGAGGGAAGCCCAGGCACGGGCCAATGGCAGTCAGTTGATCCGACCCCGCGCAGAACCCCACTAAATTCCTCGTTTCCAGTAAAACGGGGGGTCCACTTTACCCCCTGTTCTGCGCCGCAAAGACCTCTCCAGGTCCACTGGTGGGAAGCTCAGCTATCTCACGTCCTCGGCCGACCGCTTAGCATCCTGTTTTTTCCTCTCTGTTGACCGCCTCGTCTTCTCGCGCTGCACACCGTGGCTGAGTTGGATCTTCTGCTTGCTGCATGCCGTTGCCGTTGCTCGTTTGCTTCCGCAGCTGCAAGTGAGAAATTACGCGGCATATCTTCTTCAGCCCGTTCAATCAGGACGCTGACCACGTTGCGACCCTGAAAAAATTGGTTGCTGACCACCGAAAAAGGAGCGGCATCTTTTCTCGCGCCTATCCATTGGCCAATCCGAGTTGCACTTCTGCTGCAGGATCGCGTTGCACACACGAGAGTCGAGAGAGAGAGAGAGAGAGTAAGCACCAGCCAAAATGCCTATTCGCGTCAAGTCCAAGAAAATGCCAAAGTCCCGGGACATGAGCCCCGTGTCCATGCACTTTGACACGTTTGAGCTGCCCGACATTGACACGGACGACACCTTCCGGGAGGTTGTCAAGAAGCTCTCTGTGTAAGTTTTCACCTCAGAGAACGGCTGCCCCGTAGTCTCATGCCTTTTTTCCCCCGTTGAGGGCGGCCCTTTCCCGCCCGCCCCTGGACGGACAACGCTTGACCGAGTTTTGCTGACTGACGGATCCGGTCTAGATACTTCACCGATGTCATTGTGCTGCCGAGCACCTTTGAACAGCTGCGCACCACCCAGGCTGGTGAGCCGTTGCGAGTCTTGGTCGATCACTTGAATGCCACCTGCACCAACCGGGCCATCGTCAACGCCCTTCTGTAAGTCAACCCCCTGTGCCTCACATCTACTATGACCTCCCCAGTAGAATACGTGATACAACAACCACACACCAGCCTCAGTTTCTGACACACTCCAGCGCGCTGAAATGGCACTATGCCGTCGACGAGGCCGAGTCCAACAAAGGCCTCTGCGAAGCCCGCGCCAACGCCTGTGAGATCGTCGCCTGGCGCTTCCTCACTCGCCTCTCGGAGCGCGAGGCCGTCGACTTCTGCCTCTACGAGATCCCCGACCCCAAGGAGCCGGCCACCCCGCCGCCCAACGCGGATCTCGAGAGCAATGAAAACTCCCCCTTGCTCTCCGGCGGCAGCTGGTCCAACCGCAGCGGCAGCCGCCGCGCCTCCGTCCGCCCGGGAAGCAGCGCCAAGCGCTACCAGCTCTTGTCGTCTCTGTCCAGGCTCACCATGAGCATGCACGCCGACCAGGATGAGGAGGAAGAGGACGACCCGACCTCGCCCTTTACCAACCTCAATGCCCTTGAGATCGCCGCCGTCGCTGATGCGAAGCGCTTCTTGAGCCAGCACGTCGTGCAGAAGATTGTCACGGGCATCTGGAACGGCGACATCATCTTCTGGGACAGCCTGTCGGTCCACGCCGAGAAGAAACCCCGCTTCTACAACGCTCACACGACTGATATCTTCTCCCGCCTGCGCGTGCCCAAGTACCTCAAGTTCTGGGAGGCCTTCTTCTTCTTCATCTTCTTGTGCTTATACTACTCCGTGCTCGTCACGCAGAACACCGAACGCATCACCCACAACGAAATCGTCCTGTACATCTGGCTCGCTGCCTTCCTCTACGATGAGCTCAGCGAGTGGGCCGATGCCGGAACAATCTTTTATGCCACGGATATTTGGAACCTGTTTGATATGATCATGATAGGCATCGGTATCACCTTTGCCGTTTTGAGTAAGTACAGCTCTGTTGTCTTCTCTCTCTCTCTCTCTCTCTCTCTCTCTCTCTCTCTCTCTCTCTCTCTCTCTCTCTCTCTCTCTCTCTCTTCCAATTA